GAACTACATCAAGAAAAATGAGGAAAAGACAAGAGATCGTGTCCTTGCAGCCTTTCCTGTTTGTAAGGATGACATGCAGGAAAGGCTGCATGCTGGTAGCACACCTGAACTGAGTAAAGATGTAGAGTACTCACTGTCTACTCTCTCTCTGCCAGAAACTCCTATTTTCCCTAAAACTGTGAAGCCCAGGGCTGCTACCATAAGTGAGGCTAATCTCAGGCTTGAAGACACTACACCATGCAAGGAGAACTCTTTTATGAGTTTGAACAGATCTTCCTTCTCCAGTGAGATGCCTTTTGTAGATAGTCCATGTGAGCCTGCCAGTAGTGTTCTGTCCAGCACACCTGCAGAGGGCATGGAAAATGACTTGGCTGTTATGGATAAAACAAAGAACAGAGTTTTTATGATGGCAAGGCAGTACAGTCAAAAAATTAAGAAGGCTAACCAGCTTTTGAAAGTTAAAAGTCCAGAGCAGGAGCAGCCAGCTAGCAGACAACAGAAACTGAAACACAAAGATCTTGCTGCTATTCTGGAGGAGAAGAAACAAGGAGGTCCTGCTATTGGTATGTTAAAAACATTTCTGTACAGATACATTTATTTAGTAACTTTCAGTGAACTTTGTGTTCTGTACTGGAAGATTATGAATTTTCCTCACCTTGGTCACTGAGTATCAGGATCGTATTTTCTGTTACAACTGAAATGAATTTTCTCAGACTGCTTTAACATGAATGGTCCTTTATATCTCATTTCTTGCTACTTGATAAATTTGGAAAGAAATAGCAGGGCAGTGTCAGGAAAGAGCAATTCAACTGAGGCTGGAAGTAGAAATCATGCCCGAAGCACTGTTGGCCTCCCTACAGAAAAGCAGTTATTTCCTTTAATCGTGTGATCTTGAGAGTTTGACTGAACTAGTGTTTTTTCAAGTTGGTCTGCCTTCTAACAAGTCCCATACATCTCCTCAGGTACATTCAGAATCATACTCATAAGCATAAGGAATGTGGGCAGATAAGAAAGAGCTGATAATCTTTCTATCAGCTAATGAATGTGCAAAGTCAGGGATATGCAACAGCTCTGGAACTATTTTTTCCATGATCAATTGAAACAAATGGAAGATGTGGAGCTAGCAGACTCCATGCACCAGAGTGTCATTCTTGCCTTCTTGTGACATTTTAAAAAGTCCCTAAATATCTTATTTACTAGGCCATTTTTAGAATGTTCTTTTCCATTTTAACATGAAACTAGCAGCTATTATTGGAACCATGCGCTGCATTGTGTCCTACATGACTGCTGACTGTAGCAAGATATTTTATGCTTCTTTTCCTCAACAAAGTGTACTGAAATATGATGCAAAGGCCTTTCCGGCCTCCAATGTTTCATATTACTTTGCAGAGGCCAAATTTATTGACACAACTGAAAGTTTTTTTCTACTGATACACTAAGCATTTAGCGATTTTAAAATTTTCACACAATTCACTGAAATGGATTCTTCGTCTCTGCTAAGTTAATTCTCTCTTCTTTCTTAGGTGCCAGAATAGCTGAATATTCCCAGCTTTATGACCAAATTGTCTTCAGAGACAGTCCTCCTAGGGTCCAAAAGGAAGCTGGGGCCACTCCTCAGGAGCCGTCATCTGGGAGGTTTTCCACACCCGTGGCCACGGGTCCTCCCCGCTCCCAGCCTGCCAGTGAATGCTCAAAAGCAGAAGATTGGCTTTTGCATTCTACGTACAGTAATGGCGAGCTGGCAGACTTCTCTCCGTGGTCTGAATCCCAGGACTCCAAGTCCAAGAGCTCATATACAGAAGCTGGTACAAAAATCAATTCGAAGCAGTTGCTGTCAGCTGGCTCGGTGCCTTCCCTTCAGATTTCCAACCGTTTGCATGTCCCAGCGCAGAGGTGGAGCGCCATTATAAGCCAACCAAACAAAGAAAACTTACACCAAGATCAAGTCTATAACTCGCTGGGGAGGAGAGTAAGCAGTGTAAAACCACAGGCATACAGCAGGTCACAGTCCTCGTCCTCAATAGTGGTCAACAGGTCTGGAGAATCAATTGTATATAATAATGAAATTGATAAGAAAAGGCTCCATTTGAATAGGAACTTTCGGTTCAACAGCCATCAAACTCCTGGAATTGCTTCAGGATGTACAGGGCTGGAGATGAGAAAGCAGATCCCTGAAAACTGTTCAGATATGATTCTGCAGGATTCTCAAAAGGTCCTGAGAGTGAACAGAGCCTCCCCTCTGACGGCACAGATGGCCACCCAGAACTATTTTTCAAATTTCAAAGATTCTGAGGAAGGAGAAGGGGATGATGATGACTATGTCGAAATAAAGTCTGAAGATGAGGGATCTGACTTGGAGACTTCTCAGAACCAAACAAGGAAATCAGATCCTAAACTGCGTAACACAGATGCTGTTCCTTCTGAAACGTTCTGTGGCAAAACTGTCTCCTGTACTCCTGCAAAGTCTGCCAGCAGCAAACACGCACTTACCCCGTATCTGACTGCATACAGTGATTCAGATAAATTGAATGACTACCTGTGGAGAGTACCATCTCCTAATCAGCAGAATATTGTCCAGTCTTTAAGGGAAAAGTTTCAGTGTCTCAGTTCAAGTAGCTTTGCTTGATGCTTTCAGTAATTTCTAGCTGTACTGCCTTATCATAACAGAGTATATACTAGGACAATCAGTACTGGCATCGTGTATTTCCATACTATTACACTATCAGGCATTGTATCGCAATAATGTTGTAAATAGATGGAAAATGTATCTTTTAAAAATGGTTTGGAATCCTGGATGTGAAAAAAGGCCACATATGCACTGTCTGGGGTCTCTTTGTAGGGCATGTGATCTTCTCATCTCCTACTGAATCTTCACATCTCTTCCTTTGTTAGGTGTGATGCCCCCTGATTCTTGCCATCGAACCAGGTGTGATGCCATTTGATTCTTAAACCATTTCATCATTTGGAAACCTTAGTATTTAGACTTTCCAGTTGGTGTCCAGTGTTCTGCATCCAAAATACCTGTGTGATTACTCTGCTTACCTACGGGAACATTTATCTGGGCCGCTGCTCCTGTGACTGTGCAGATTTCTGAGCAGGGTTCTGGTGATTACACCAACAGGCTACGTGTGCAATTGCACATACTTTTTTGCACATTACTTTTCACCAGACAGATTCCAAGTGTGTGGGACCAATGCATACACTACATTATTTTAGGGCAAGCTTCTTATATTTTAAAGAAATCTAGTCCTAGTACTTGTGCCAGGCTGATAGTTCTGTGTCTGAAGCCTCTTCTACTTTCTGGAACTGCGTAGGAGGCAGAAGACAGGCAGTGGGGGCTTTTTATGAGAACCTGTGGATGTGACACAGTCCTTGCCTGGGGAATGGTTTTGGCATTAGAAGAGGAGCTGCCCTCCTTGTCAAGAGGGCTAGACCCATTTTGGTACCTCCAGTGATGGTGGTGTTTGTGACATGCAAGCAAAATCTGAGTATCTTGTAGCTCAGCACCCAGCAGTTGAAAGCTTAGAGTAGCTGTAGAGTTTGAGACAAAGCTATGTTACACACAGTGACCTGCTGGGCATTTGTTCAAGTCCCAGTGTCAGTAACCCTGCAAGAGAATGAGGTTTGGCCAGATTCTTGGGTGAAATACTAATTGTGGGGCACGTTTGGCCCATAGGGCAGTTCAGTGAGACTGCTGGTTAAGTGACAAGCTGCAGTCCCCAGGGCATGCATCTCCTGTAGCAGGAAGTGACCCTTCCTGACAGGGAGAGGTAAAAGATATATTTTGTAAATCAGTCAGGGCTGACTCTAATCCAATTTATGTACAATAAAAAGTAGCTTAAAAATGAGAATACATTCCATTCTTTTGCAAATAATATATAGAATAAATGCTGCTGTTTAGAGCAAGGACAGGCTTTCCAATACTGCCTACACTTAACTCCCTTTCATCATCTTTGTTGCACAGCTTTGGATTCTGTTACTTGAAAACTTTGTACCGAAAGGAAAGCCTAGATACATCTACACTGATCATCTTGTGTGACTGTTCTTTTTTGGTGCTTACATTTTTCAGATTACATGGATAAAGCCAGTACCGAGTTAAACATATCAATAAACAAAGGAATTTCATTGAAATACTATTTTTACTAACGATGTATCACTCCCCTCAGTTACAGAGCACTGTACTTCCAGAACAGCTGATTATTTACTACATTGGTTACCATGAGGAAAACCTGAAGTTATCAGTGTACAGCTAATTACTTGTAGACTAAGATTTGAGGACTTGAATTTATTAGAACTGACTAAATTATTTACCACACGTGTCTTGCATTGGCTAGGAATTGTTATTTTGAGGGCTGGTTGGTCATGGTACTTGCTAGCTCGTACCACAGGGATACTTGTTCCAGTCAGCACCCCCTGTGATAGGACCCATATCTATCTAGTAAAATCCGACTGAAAAATAATGTTGTATATATTTACGACGCCGAGGTGTAGCGGAGCCCATATTTATTTAATATAGCTTGTAAAGTATTGTAAATATGGATAGAAGATAAATCTGTGGGCTCATATCTAGATTTGTTTTAACGGCTTTAGGAAGTGTTTAACTCGCATCTCATGCAATCAGTGGAGGCGGGAGGGAGGGAAAAACAACCAACCAACCAACCAACCAACCAACCAACCAGAAAAAGGGACTTCTACTAGAATTGTAACTTCTCCCAGGGACCATTTCATACTATTTTTAATAAACGTTGAGTATGCAAAAGCTTTGGGTGCTTTTCATTGCTGGGGGGCGGACGAAGGAAGTTGGTGGCTTCTGCCTGTCGGAACTGATGTTTGTGGGTGATTCGGATGGGGATTTTATCTTGCAAAAAAAAAAAAAAAAAAAAAAAAAAGCAGCGGAAGCGAAAGGGGCGGGCGGCGCTCCATCCCTGCCCGCCCCCTGGCGCCGCTCCCGCCGCTGTCCCTGCCCCGCTCCCGCCGCCGCGGGCGCCCCGGAGGTTCCGATGGTGATGATGGCGATGCTGCGGTGCTGGCTGTCCCCGGCGCTGCCCTGGCCGCTGCTCCCGCCGCGCCGCGGGCTGGGCGCGCTGCTCCCCGGGGCGGGCGGCGCGGCGGCGGCCGCCCGGTAAGAGGCGCACGTGGGGCGGCAGCACCGGCTGATGCAACCGGGAGTGCGACCGGGTGGGCACGGACCGAGGAGGGCTGAGGGAGGTTGGGGCGGTGCGCCCTCACCGGGTGCGTCGGGGTGGTTTTTGAGGTGGGCTTTTTGGGCGACCTCGTAGCAAAGTGTCCCACTTTCCCCAGAACCGCTGGCGGGGTTTGCTCCGGGTTTTGGTTTTGGTGGCATTTAGAGAGCGAGCAGAGCTGCCATCGTGTGGCCGTGGCTCAGGTGAGAAGGCGCGCAGGTGTGTGCCTGGAAAACCGTGTCCCCGTCCCGATTCAGCCCTGGGTGGGATAGTTTGCAGCGGCATTGAATTGAACTGGTCATTGGCTTCTGCAAGGGTAGGAGCTATCAAAAATCCACTCCGGGCTGTTCTCCTCTGTTTGTCTTCCTTGCTGTGGGGAACAGACATGTTTCAGGGGGTCTCCTCTTTGCCCGGTTGGGTCAGTATCATCTGCACACGCAAAAGGTAAGAGAGGAGAGCTGGCCGCCACTTACCCAGATTTCTTTTTCCAGAAAGCATTCCCAGTGCCTGGCTGTCACTGTTCTTTCCAAGAAGCAGAGTGGCAAACAGAGCTGCCTTTCTCCCTTCTGCCAGTGGTTTTGAAAGGCATCCATGAAAGTGGCTGGTCTGCTGCTCATGGGGTTGACGTAGCCTGTGTAAAGCCGTGGCAGCCCCAGCTGTAAAGGCCTCTGCATCTGCCACTGCCCTGGCCAAGGGTATGGAAACAAAGGGCCCAAGAGCTGATCAGACAGCTCAGGGGAGTGATTCCCTGCTGCACTTCCCATGATGGGGCTGGACAAGCCTTCTCATGAATTAACACAGCCTAGCTATAAAGTTTTGGGCATGTCAGAGCGATGCCCCACATACCTATTAAAAAAAAAAATTAAAAAAATTGGCCTGTTGCAGTTTTCTGTACCTTCCTGCTGAACACCAGCCCTCACAGTTCATATCCAGCCATAATTTTGGAGATTAAAAACATACGTGCCCAAGCGTTTCTGTTACATTGTTGACTAACGTTGACTTCTGACGACTAATGTTAGGAGGGTCTATTTGTCTATTTTGTTAAAGATTTGCTTGTCACTGTGTTGCAGCAGAGTCACCGAGAATGCAAAGAATACCTTGGCTTCTCTTAAGAGAGAAAACCCTCAGTTTGAGCCAACGCTTGCCATTATTCAGGTAAAGTATGTACGTGCACTCACTGGCTGTGAGAGATCTCCTCTGGTATTGTTCTTGTCTGAAACTTTGAAAGCACACCATGCAGAAAGTAATTTTAATCCTTTTTTTGTAAAGAATATTGTCTGGTTTATTATAAAGCAGAGCAATAGGATGAGATAGTTCCACGAGATGGTAGATTGCCCTTCTTCAGGCCTGAAACAGTCACAGCAAACTTCAGACTGGGAAAGCTTCACAAAGGAAAGGAACAGTTTTATCCCTTCTTCCTTTTGCTAAAGTAGTCTTCCTCAGTTTAACTATGGATTACTCTTCTCACAGCTTGTCTAAGTTGATTAACTTAATAGTTGAATTAAAGTAGTGTTCTCAAACCTTTATTTAGCTTGAAGCTTTTTTTGCAATCTGAGCAAAGTGCTTATGTGCCTGAAAATGTGGGCCTCCCTTCACTTCCCACCCCTGAGATAACAATGCCAGGATTAATGAAAGGCCCAGTTGCTTCCTGTCAGCCATATTGCCTTTGGGTAGCTACAGCTTATCAATGTCTTCCTACTCTTCTGTGGAGAGGAAAACCACACCAAAAAGTCCTAGCCAGCTCAGAAGGGTCTGTGTGAAATTAGTGCCATGTATAAAGTGTCAGCATCCACAGAAGTAGCAGCTCTTTCTGATGTGAAGGAACCTTGCAGTAATTGAGAACCATTGTTTTACTAATGCTGTGAAGAGCTTTCCATCCCACTGATAGTGCCATTTTTTATAGGCAATCACAAGTTTAAAACCCAACTGTAAGTATTTTTAAAGTACTGATAGTAAATCTAAGTAATGCAGCAACAGCTTTATTTCAGAAGGTCTTCTAGTGAGGCTGTCTGAAGAGGCTGTCCCATCTCTCACCCTCCCTGATGTTTGCATTTTCACAGAGCCCTCTAAGGCTAAAGCTTGAGGACTGCTAGAAAAGCAGTGACCTGTTTTTCTCACTCCTCTTAGTCTCCAGCTGGTTGCACCATGATCTGGACTAGGACTATGATCTGTCCCTGCCCAAGGGGTCTGAAGAGGCTTCCTTTCAAACACGTTTATTTCCTGGATCTGGTTTTCTGCATGGCTACATGCATGTTTAATGCTGTCACAATGGAAGGGACGTCCCTCTTGTCCCTGTTTACCCCACTTGGTCTGCCTCATGAGATGGCTGTAGGAACATGTGGCCTGGATCCTTCTGGGTAAAATTCACCCAAACTGTTCTCCAGCTGTCCAGTCACTCTACTTCTGGTCTCTGCTCTGAAGCAGAGCCCGTTTTAAATGTGCATTTGTTGGTGCAAAGAAAACTTGCTTTGGTCTACAGATGTTCTTGTGGTGCACTGCTCTACCAGTAATTTGGGCAGAGCCTTAGGGTTTGTGCTACTCCCCATGTGCCACATCTGCCCAGAGAAGCAGAAGGAGGGCAGTGACATTATCTCCTTTGCCAGTCACTTGTGAGTAATGGCTGTCAGCATGACAGGGCATCACCTCTTCAGCAGGACGGGGAATGAGGAGTTGCAGACAGAACCTGCAGTGGAATGGTTTTGTGACTATTCTTTTCCTCCTTAGTCAATGGCATCTAGTAATAGGTAATAAGTGTTAGTAGTTAATAAGTGTTGCTTATTGTCCATGTTGAACCTGTCTTGTAGCTGTGCAACAGCAAAAAATGATTGGTGGGTGCTGAGAAGTAAAATAAAGCATCAGGATCCTGCTTAACAGTGGAGCTGTTGCCCTGCAAAGCTCAGCAAAGCACCACTGGCTCCCCTGCACCTCCTGTCCTGCCCTTGCACTCTGCCAGCCCACGTGCTTAACTTTGGTCCCACCTGTGCTGCTCAGTGGGTTTTGATAGGAGTTGTCTTAGGGCAGGGACTTTCTGCACTCACACAAGATGTGTTCACCTGCCAGTGCTGCAGCAGCAGGGACATTTCAGGGGACAGTGTGGTACCACCAGTTGCTCCGTCCCAGTTAAACTTCTTGAGTAGTCTGTGTGGGGGTACAGCCCCACATTTAGTGTCACAGGGGAGCAGCTGATGAGCTGAACCTAGACCTGTCTCTTCTTCCTTGGCACAGTGTGAGCTCTGCACAGTGTCCTCAGTGCAGCATTTAGGGAGTGGGATGCTGGTGGCGCAGTGCCAGGACTGCTGGCAGTGCAGGGAAGGAGCTGGGGGATAGAGGACAAGCCCTCCTTCCCTGACAGGAGTTGCTCCTCTCCATGAAGCTTGTGCTTTTAAATGCTCTTTTTATCACTGTCAGCAGTCTTGAACTATTTAAGATTAACAGGGATGGCCTTCTGCTTCTTTCTTAGATTTGTTTCTTATTAGTTTGAGTACCTTTAGACACAGGCATTGTCACTATGTTTCTTGTATAGACATGTAGATTAGTGTACTCATCTTTAAAATGTATTATTTTAAAACTCGGTTTCTGTTTTGTTCCCCAAGGCACATAATGACCAGTTGATTCAAGAAGCAAACAAGAACTTTGCCAAAGAGGTAAGCTTTAGCTGATAACTGTGTTAATAATCATGACCTACTTGCCTTTGGTAATTTTAAATCTTTTCTTTTAACAGATTGGTCTTCCTGAAAGCAGCACCAAAGATGAGGTAACTGAAATACCTGAAAGAGTCTTCTTTTTCCATTTTTGTCATAGACTTTTATTTATTACTGACATTCACTATTATTTTGACTAACCTCTAGTAACTCAAATTAGGTTTAGGATTGCCTTGGTTTAAATAGCAAATATTATCCCCTTACTGGCGAGAGTGAGAAAAAAGAAAATTAATGGTCATGTCTGCTGCTCCCTGGCAAGCTGGGACAGAATCAATAGAGTAATGTTTTGGTTTTGTGCTTGGTATTTAACCCCATACCAGCTCAGGTATCCTGATCTCCTGCAGTTACTCTTGTGACTGTGCCTGATTGTTGCCCAGATTATTCAGGGAAATTAGAGATTATATGGAGAAGGGAGGGGGGAAGGAGAGGGCAGGCGTTGAATTTGTCTATTGATCTTTTAATGTTTCAATTATGTATTAAAAATCAAACATCCACCCGAAATCACTAGAGGCTTGAATTCTTTACCTTGTTGAAGGCACAGCACTTAATATCAATTATGTTTTAAATATAGAAAACCATGTGAAAACCGTTGAAGGAATGTATAGTAAAAGATAACACTGTTCCCAGCTGGTCTCGTTGTGCTCGGCAAGTTTTTAATCCTGCAGGCTTGTGAGTTCTGTGTACTCTTTTGTTTTTCGGCACACTTTGTTTTTAAAATGTTGCTGCCTTGCAGTGTAATCTCAAGAACTGCTTTCAGATGCATTGAAAGGAATTTACTGTGAAGTTTAGTAGATTATGGATAGTCAGCGACCCATTTAAGAAGAGTGGGCTTTTGACATGAAAAATAAATACACTTTGTTGTTGGTAAACGTGTTTTATGCATTGAGTAACGCAGCAGGAAATAGGTAAAATACAGCACTAGGTAATACAGAAATAGCACGAGGTAAAATACAGAAATTGGTAATAATACTATACAGCAGTAGTTGCAGTTAGTTTGAAGTAGTATCTTAGCAGTAGTTGAGCTGTGTATTTGAAGAGAAAATTGGGGTATTTTTGTTATTTAAAGGAAGTTACTTCCAATAAATTCATCATGGTTTGCCTACTCTCTTGCTTACTGACTATGACAAGTTTTTTTTTCATCTACTAAAGTCCACATCTCAGTTGTGTTCCTTGGTGTGGGAAGGTGGGAGGGATTTCGATACCATGCACATTTGGGTTTTGCCAAAACTTCCTGTGTACAATAAAGGCAAGTTAGTACTACACTACTTTACCCTGCATGAGTTATAAGTAATTTAAATGCTGTGGTGATGAAAAGCAGAATTAAAGTAAGATGCAATTAAAAGGGAAAGTTGAATTATTTTCCCAGGAGTCAGAAATACAGCTTGAAGTTTTAATTGCTCTGTAGGCCCCCAGCATTTTGTAGCATATCAAGGTTTTTTAAAGAAAACTGCAGATGTTTTTATGTCCGTGTACTGGTATTTACACTCATTCTTTCTGTGTACCAGTCCTATTGCTGACAAGTGCCATAGGACCTTAAGAGGTATGCCTGATTTTGCCTCAGGAGTCAGGAAACTGAAGAGGCATTTCTGTACCAGTGACATGCTTGTGTAATCTGTGTTTAGCATGAAAGTAGTATGTTCTCTTGGTTCAAAGTTGCAGCTTATCTAACTCCTGCCTAATTCCCCTATCTTAATGGTGATTGCATATCAAGTGTTTGGGTAACAGAGTTCACAATTACAATGAATAGTTTACAAGAAAAGCATTTTAAATAGGCATGATATTAGTTAAGTAAAAAAAACCCCAAACCTACTTATAATCCTTTTCTGTTGAATGTTAATCCAATTCTATTATAAAGCTTTGTGATGCCTGCACACTATTTTATATATAAGATGGGAAGACATGCTTGCATGACCTTTCTCACCTAAAAAAATCTTTGATATGCTTTGTTCCATTGTATTCTTTCTGGTCACAGCAGAATAGCATGGAGATCAGCATTGCACTTTAGAGAAGAAGGAGTCAAGGGTAGGTAGTACAGTCTCAGATGTCACATATGACCAATTATAAACGACTTGAAATTCAAAAACTTCTCTGCTATGTCTTTTCAACATAACAGTTCTTCACAAGGTAATTGCCAGCTCTTAGGATCAGGGGGTTTTGAGAAGGAAAATTGGTAACCATATCTGCTGGTTTAATAAAATTAGTTTTTTCTTGTATGGTTGTTCTTTCAAGTGCTACAACTTTTTGTCCCTGTGTTGGACAATACCCCCATGATCTGGTCCTGTTTTGCACTACATATTAACCAAGGCATCCTGTTTCTAAAAGCATCTTCTGAAGCCATTACAGTGACAAGCTTTTGCTGAAGTTTGGAGTCGTAAAACACAAACTGCTTTTGGCAGCATAATGTCACATAATACGTGTTTACTTTGCAAGATATTTAGAATAGAGTCAGGGTGGCTTAATTTGGTAAGCCACTGATAATAAACTGAGTAGAGCAGGTTATTGCTTTTTCATTTAGTATTTGCAGTAATAAGCAAGGGAAGCCAAGGTGGCCATAAAGCAATTGAAAAAAACATTACAGGTTTTACCTCATTCTAATCAGATTCTCCTTTTATCTGTTGTTCTGATCTTTAATGCTTTTTATTAACTTCCTAGATTGTCAGTGAAATCTTGAGACTTAATGAGGATCCTAACGTGCAGGGCCTTGCTCTTGACCTCCCAGAAAGCTTATATAGCAGTAAGGTATTAAATGCTGTGAAACCAGAGAAGGACGTGGATGGGTAAGTGGAGCACTGAGAAATAATATTAGCAGGCACAAGCCTGATGGCTCTGTAAAATCAGTTTTCCCCTGTGCTTTTCATTAATGGACTGTTCAGTCAATGTGTCTAGCTGTGCTATTGAGCAGTGATAAAAGATGCCTCTGAATCAATGAGAAGTCTTTTGCTGAAGTAGTTTTGGTCATTATCTTTTTATTTTTCACATAATGTATATTCAGGGCAGAGTCCTTTCAAAGAAATAAAAAACAAAATCTTGATGTACTGGTGATACTTTAGTATTTCAGTACTTCAATAATACAAGTGGCAGTCACAAAGTACTGAATTTTCACAAGAAGGATTGATGCAAAAATTGCAGAGAAGGTTTTAACTTCCTTACAGCACTCTCTTGTGGTGAGAGAGTAAACTATAATAGTTTGGACCCATTAGCACAGGTTTCCAATTGGTGTTGAGTTGTATTGCTCTCTGAAGAGCCACTGGTGTAATTTGGATTTGTGAGTTACCATTTTGCTGCTCTTACTGCCTTCCTGCTCGTAGCTGCAGGCTATTACAATTTTTTTATCCCACTCTCTCTTTCTTTTATGTAGGGAAAAAAAATCTAAAAATCTTTCAAGTTAGTCACCTTTCCATTATGTAAAGTACTGGAGACTGTCAAAGAATGGAAAATTTGGAGCATCCTTCTGTATGAGAGAGACTGGAGTGCAGTGTGGAAACACCTGTGTTGCCCCCTCCTGAGCCAGCTTGGCTCTGGCAGCTCTGGTCTGGTCTCACTGCTGCCACTGAAGTGTTTGGGCTCAGTGTGCTGGGTAGCCCATCGTGACAAGTGAAGAGCTGCCCGTGTGTCGTGGGACTGTGTTACTCATTCTAACTGAGATCCCTTTCCTGGCCTCTCTTGAGGCTCAGTGTTTGTCTAACTGGGGTGTGGGATGATACGAATTAGCTGCAGTACGTGACTATGAAAGGATTTGCTTTTGTGGGAGATGTTTGCTATTGGGATTAGCTCTTAGCCATGTTACAAGCATTGCTAGGGATTTATGTTACACAAACTTCTTTTTTTGTTGTTAAATTGCCATATTTTTCCACTGCAGATTATCCAGTGTAAACCTAGGACGCTTGCTACATGGTGATGACTGTCTAGTTCCTCCTACAGTGTGTGCTGTGATGGAGCTTCTTGGAGATACAGGTGAGTCCTTCTATTATAATCATTACATTAATTCTAGCCTAACTATTTTACTCAGTTTCAATCCTGATTGGGAGCCAAATATAATCTGACCTTGTTATGTGTTCCATTTTGTGTTGCTTTCCCACCTGACATATATTTGTCTCCTGCTAGTGAGGAGGAGGACTCCTGCTCAGTGGCATCTGAATGCTATATTTGTAGAAACAGGTCTCAGGCCTACAGATTTTGGGTATTAGGCAGGGATTAGCTGCCATCCGCAGATTTAATTTCACTGAAGACACACAAGACATGTGAGTCATCCAAACAGAAAATACTGACATCACTTGGGGATTTCACTTGACAGTTTTGATTACTGTGAGCAGTTGGAGAAACCCAGGTTTGCCTTTAAATTGCTGCCGAGCAAATCTTTTGGTTTGGATTGTGTTGTGTCAGTGCTGACACTGAACACTGAACTAGCAGATTTAAACAAGCAGGTTTACTGTGTGTGAAGACAATTGGTTTAAGGCAGTGTTTCAGAAGTTTCTCTCTTACAGTGATTCATAATGGTTGAAGCGAGGATTTCTGTAGCAGAACTGTCGATGGGAGGCTAAATGTACTTAGTAACAAACATGAATGAAAGGATTTGTGCAAAATACCAGAAAGCCAGAAGAACAGTGTTTGGCTACTAGAACTCAGAGAGTCACCAGGAAGCTCCTTAGGACCTGTGGTTGGTGTCCCTGCACGAGCTGCAGGAGAGCTGCCCTGCTGGCACAGCTGCTGTGGTTGCGCAGGCACACGGCACTGTCCTGTTCTGAGCCCCTTTGCAGCCCCTTCTGCAGTTCTGCAGCCGTGGGTGGCCTGGGGGGAGCTCCATGCAGCTGCTGGTGCTCGTGCCCTGCGCTGGGGGCGGCTGAATGTCTTCCCTTGTGTCGCACAGGTGGGAAGAAGGTGCTGCTGGTGGGAGTGCGTGGGGCAGAGGGTGCTGCCCTGCAGAGCGTGCTGCAGCGCCAGGGAGCTGCCGTCCTCAGCTGCCACTGCAAGGCCCCGCAGCTGCAGAGTGAGGTGAGTGCTCCTCTGTCTGCCTGGGCTCTTCCTGCATCCCCACTGTCTGCTCATCCCTGTCAGCTGCCCACCTGACAATCCTGCCCTTCGCTGCCGTTCCCAAGAGGGAGGCTCCTCATTGCAGTCACAGGTGGCACGGAGGTTGCTGGTGGCCAGTGTGGGTTAGAGTCTTTTCTCCTTCCTGCTTGCTCAGAAATGGTGCAAACACTCTTCTCTACTCGAATACTGCATGTAACAGCAGCTGCTCTAACTTCATTATTTTACACCAAGGGCTGTGAGAGAAAGAATCCAAGAAACGTTTTAGTTCTCCCTTTTGCTTTCTCTCTGCGCAAGAGAAATGCCTTCTTTCTTTTTTTTCTTTTCCTCGTCCTGTCATCTACATGAAATTACTTCCACGGATTTGTATCCCAGAGGGAAGCAGTGCTGGGGACAGTGCCTGTGCAGGACAGCCCGTGCCGCAGGGTGGCAGCCGAGGCAAAGCCATGCTGGCCAAACTCCGCGCCTTGCAGGCACCGACAGGAGGAGCAAACAAAACTCCACCGGCTGCGACAGAAAGTTTCTGGCAAAAAGAAACCGTGTTTTCACAGCTGTGGATGTTTTTGTCAGGCTTGTCTCAGTGCTGGGCTTTTAAGTGACTGACAGCGCTTAGGAAACATATGGCTCTCTGGGAGATGGAGTGCTGTGAACTTGATCCTTGCCATGTCTCATTCCTCAGTTATTTCTCATTGCTTGGGGTTGTGCTACAGGACTGCTCTGGGCTGGATGGGGTGGGTGACAGGGTGGCCAGAGGTGTTTCCACTGGTTCACAGCGAAAAATCTGGATTGGGCCCAGAGCTGCTTGTGCAGTGCTGTCAATAACTGGAGAGAATTCTGTTTCCTTCCATCCAGATGCTTTCCCATAATCATGCTTTGCTCTTTGGCATTCCCCATAGCTTACCTCTTGGAGCAGGCCACTGATGGGAAACAGAATGGGAAGCCTAAGTTTGAGGCTTAATGCACTTCACTCTTCCAGGTTCATTTTAACTTTTGGCAGTAAAAGAGTTTGTACTTCGCCTGCGGGACTAATCAGCAGAGCCCAGGGAATACCTACCTTCCCCTTCCTCACCTGTGAGCCTGGAGCAGCACGTCACCAGTAATCCCAGAGCTGTGCTGAACCTGTCTGGATGTCACTCTGATGCTTAACTCCAGCTCCTTGATAAAATCTAATGCATGCAGGGAAAGCTATCCTGTTTCATATTCCCAGAAGCTGGAGAGTCAGAAATTGAGCACAAGTTTCTAACCAAACAACCTGTGGCAACCTGTATTTGAACTACAGTGTTGTTAGATAACGTGATTATAGAATTTATATTCTTCTGTTGTTTAAAATGCTGATTGTGAAAAACAGCTTTAATGTTCACCAGGTTTTTTCTCTTGATTTGTTTTGTTATTTGAATTTCAAGTAAGAAAATGTGTTAGTCGATGCTTAAGTTTTTTAAAGACTTGAAAGAATCCATTCATGTTTTGTTTTATCTGCACCATACACTAACTTTTACTTTATCTGAATGGGACACTTCTACAGTGGCAGTTTGTGTGCTGTTGTTTGGAAGTATAACCTGTGGTAGCATAATAACTTCACTTAGGAAGTGAGGGATAAACTTACGAAAAGGATGATTTTTTCACTGGGATGCATTTGTTTTGCAATATATAACAGGAAAGGAGAATTTTATCTTAAGGGTAGAGGAATGTTATTTGTTGTAATACTTTGGCCAGGCCTATTTGCATTGAAGTACTAACCCTGACCTTAATAATGTAGTGCCTTTCTTAAGTGGTTACTACATTACCTTAGACTAGCTCTGCTGATTTGTTCTTCTTTTTAAAAAGGAAAGCATAACAACAAGTGTTTTCTTTAGAAATTATTTTAATTTAAATGAGTTACACAGCACTAAGTTTGTAGGTTTTTTGGATAAGATTTTGTATCGCTATGGACTTGTTATTGCTTTGTGCGCTTTTGCAAAAATATTTTGAAAATGGTCAAGAGGAAGTACGTTTGAGTCGACTTTAGGAAAAGTTTAAAAATATGGGGGTAGCTCTCCTAACAAACAGCATAATGCTGTCTACCATCTGACTTTGTGTGCTCCTTTAAAACAAGTCTGTTCTGTCTTATGGTAGGAAAAGGGAATAAAATAAATAATGGTACATTTTCATTTCATTGCTTTGATCTGAAATATTGGACACAGTTTCAATGTTCTTTTCCCTCCCCACTTCATGTTTTGTTCAGCTGAGCAGATTATTAATATTTCTTTTTGTTCCATTTTGGGTTTGCTTGACCAGTTCTCACAGCACAGCTGAGCCGTGTCCTTCAGAACTGTTGAGCTTCCTGGGTTTTCAAATAATTCACAAATGCAAGAAAGCATTTTTGAAGGTTCTGGCACATCTGTGCAAAGTTGTCATGAAGAAACATTGTTCTTTTTGCATTGATATGTTCAATGTAAAAGAAGTTACAAATTGAGAGATACAGACACAAGCATCTTAGAGGAAATACTTAAGATGTTATCGTTCTGTTAAGCTTTGTGTAGAGAGCTCTTCAAAGCACATTCACAGCATTGTGGCTGAAGAATGACCTAGTGACATAGTTTTAGGGACATCTCATGTAATTTTAAAATGGGACTCCCTAAAAGTCAGTTCAGTATTACATGTGAAGAATGGGAGCTGATGTTTTTTAATTCTTTATTATGTCAGAATTATGTTTTCTAGCTTAAAAGGAGGTTGTCAAGTAGATTCGTATTGAAAAAAATGGATTATTTTCTTGCCAAAATATGGGTAATACTTAGTACTTGTAAGAAAACAGAATTTTGTTGCAGTCGTCTAAATTCAGTCAGTCATTATTTCAGCACGTCATGTTTAATGTAGTCTGTGTGTGAACCACATCATGCCTGTGTTAAGAGAGCTGCTATCTTACAATTTTATTGTAAAAGAAGTGAGAGCTGATCTGCCTAGGTGTAATTAGGAATAGAAAAGTTGTTTGCAAAAGCGAGGTTAAGAAGTATGAGACTGGTTCAGCTGGAGTCCTGAATGGGAGTTTCCTTTTCAGGTTGAAAAAGAAATTCTTTTGGCCACAGTGTGCTTTTCCATAGCCAACACTTGAGCTTCAAACTCTTATACATCTTATAGCTATTTACTGTCTTAGTTTTGCTGTCTTGGTAAGACCAAGACTCTTGTTATGGGCAGAAAAATAAATTTTGTATTGTAAGCATGAAAGAACAGGAGGCCAGGCACACAGATCCCGTAGGAGGAGAGAAGAGGGAAGCTGCACGAGCATTTCTAATGATGATGATGTAGACAAAGTATTTCCACTTCAACATCTTGTGCACCTTATGCACATCATCTCTGTTCTTTGTGATTTTGAAATGTATCCCCCTGTCTGTGGGCTAGAGGAGCAGCTGCTAAAGCGTGGATCATAGTGGCAGGCTTGAGCCCACAGCAGAGATGTGGGCTTGTTTTTCATGTGCACCGTGTAGGGCAAGTGCATTCAGGGTGGTGTGGCAGGGAAAGCTGGAGGAAGCCATGTGATTAGTACCACCATGCCTTGGTGGAAAAAGTACCTGAAACTAGTCATTGACTTAAAAAATTTTCAAGATTTCAGAAAGTAATTAGAATTACTGTGGTTAAAGTGGAACCCGATCTGTAAACTGATGTGTAAAGAGACTTTTTTCATAAAGACAGTTGTGAAAAAAATTTTAATGAGATTCCTATTCGTCATTGCATCTCTTCAATTTTATATGGCCTAGTTTCATACCCAGGATTCTGAGGGCTTTTACATTTCAATTTTTAATTTTTTTTTTGTTTGTTTAATCATGTATTTAAAAATGTCTTTTGTAGCAGTCTGTTTTAACTATGGGAAAATGAAAATTTTATGCAGACTTCACAGGAAAATGGAGTTTCAGTGATCTGTAATACACAGCTACTTTGTGCCATTATCATTTAATACTTGGCTGGAAAGTCTGTATTGTTGTTTTAACATTTAGTCTTCTGTCTTGGGAATGGGTGGTGCTTCTTAATCTGGTTCAATTTAAATCTTGGTGGAGGGGATCATATTTTCTTATGAGGTAAGGTTGCAGATTATTTATTGGCACAGCTCTTCCCAACTGAAAAAATATTTACCGGTGAGGAGGCAGGATACTACTGGACTATTGGCTTACTTTGTCTCCAGCCTCCAGTACATTAAGGAGGGTTTGGCCTGATGCTTGTCATTCCTTCCTCTAGCCAGCCTGATGGAATGGAGCCTTGCTGTCCAGGAAGCATGAGGCAGGCAGCCACATGTTCTCCCTCATGGGTATCTCCTTGACCTTCTGGCTATGGCTGCCTGTAGCATCTGGTTCCTGTCAGATGTGTCCTCTGTGTCCTCTGTGTCCTCTGTGTCCTCTGCCCAGGGACTGTGGTGCTTTTGCTGAGGGAGGCTAAATGTGATTATATTCATAGGACTTTTCCATCTCTCATGTCTGCAGTCAGTTTCTGATGTAGGAGTTGACCCTGAACATGCATCCCAAGGCTTGCTTCTTACTTTAGTGATTAAACAGTCAAAAGGGTAAATTATGGCAAGAGAGAAAAATCTAAAAGCAAAGGAGGCGTAGGCACAACTTCTTGCAAGTGAAACTAAAATTTCCTGATGGAGATCACATAAATCTCTTCTAAGGATACCCAGAATTCTGTACACAAGTATGTTGCTTTCAGTGGACTTGCTCTCCCAGTTTCTGGATATACTTTTTTAAAAATACTTATAGGGGAAAAAAAAATCTCTAAAATGTTTGTGATATACGTATTTTATTAACTCTGCAGGAACTTTTTCAATAGTTGCACATAAAATATTATTTTCTTTGTGAAATAAGGGAAAGGAAATCACACTGGGGAAGGCTCTGAGAAATCAGTGTGTCTTTAACCTGTAGTACAACTCTTTGCTGCCATGTGATGCAACTTTTTTCATGGAGGAGGTGGGGCAGGGCAATGAGATGAAAGGTCCAGCTGGTTTTCTGCTAAAATTTATGGGTATGTGTGATGTTAGCTATCCGAACCAGTGTTAATGTTGGCTACAAAAATAATTGTGTTCAGCTGTTAAGAACATTTTTCAACATTAGGGTCAGTAGTCATAGGGATGAATATTTGGTTCCATCAGTTGTTTTCTGACATTACAGTTACATTGAATCAATTCTGTCATAAGTATGTTGGCTGAACATTCATCAGAATTATTACTTGTTGCATACAGCTCTCAACTTGTTCATCAATTCACGATGCTAAGCGGTGTGCAAAGCTCTTAGTCCTTCTCCCAGAGGCTTTGCATGGAAAGGCATCTTGACTTACAGTATATGATTTATAACTGCCAGAATATGAATTATTTTTCCTTGCAAAAAAAAAAAAAAAAAAGGCTGTGCTCATGTAACTAAGAAAAATCACCGTTTTTCTCTGTGTTGATGTTGACTGTTACAGCAGAGATTTCCCTCTTTTGCAGGGCAAAGTGTGCCTTCAGCATGGTATTCTTGGTACATGAGGCATTACAGCATCTTTTTGTCCTGATTTCTTTGCAGATTACTCAGTATCATTTGGCCTGACACTGGTCAAGCATTGTGACTTATGTGGCCTTCTAGGAGGGGCATGTAAGCTGATATTTGCACCAGACTCAGGAGTGTGACCAATTTGAATTAGGCTGAATGACTGTGCACAGGCAATCACAGGAGTGTTGCTGGACATTTGACTGAAGCCTGAATCAGCTCATTGCATTAGTCATTTGTCAAGCAAGTAAATCTTCTCCCACACTTCTGGCTTTGTTTCCACATAGGGATCTCTAAGGAGGGTTAGGCCATCCTTATGTCCTCCAAGGGGAAGATGGAGTTTTTTCAGTTTTATGCCTTTTCCGCAGCAGTTATGTTCTTCTCCTCTCCTGGATGCTCAGATGTGCCAAAAACCTGCTATCCTGACAAGATTTGTAGCTGTTCTTTCTTGGCAAGAGTGTTGGGCAGGGTTGTGTCAGAGCACTTTTGGCCAAAAAAGAAGCTGGAATGCTTGTCAGTCACAAATCAATTCATAGAGTGGCTCACTGAGTTTGTGACACTTGGAATTAATTTGCATTTATCCAAAATATTACCCAAACTGCTGTATTTCTGAAATAATTTTTACAGTGTGACTTGAGGCAATGCTGTGTCTGTGTTTAGTTTTTTTCAGTGTATCTTAATATGTCTGCTTCTGGTGCTGTCCCTTATCCCATGGTGATTCTACCCTATTTCAGAGGAAGTGGGGAAAGAAAGACACTTATGTCTTTGATTATAAGAATTTTAGTAGTAACCATTTTTGCTCCAACATCTGCCAGATTGAGCTAAATCGGGGCAGAGATTAGCAGACATGAACTGGCAAGGAAAAAAGTACTTTAATTGGTATTCAAAGGCACTGATCTTTGCAGAAGGGGTCATCCTGCATTCCTGTCAGCTGGCCTGGTCTTCTGCTGTCAGACAATCTGACTGTACTCTTTATAGGTGCCTATTTACTGTCTTTTAACCCTTCTTTTTCTTAAGTTACTCCAAGTTATTTTGGAGACAATGGTAGAACTTTTTATTTGGAAGGATATAATCCTTCCAATTAAAATTCAAATTAAAATCCAATCTTCCATTAAAGATTGATACTTACTTTGACCTCACTCACAATTTGTTTACCTAACTTAATTTTAAATGCTATTCTTAACTTTAAAAATGCTATTTTTAATTTTCTCACTTGGCAGGTAAAAATCAAACCATCAGTTTGTATCTTTCTTTTTTGTTCTTGCTGTCTGTAAAACTTTGCTCAAAAAACTATTGCTGTATAACTTTGAATATTTTTAAGATGTGTATCCAAGTGTGTGTTTCTAAGATTAAATGCTGGTTTTGTTTCTGGGGGTGTTTTGGGCTGTCCCTAGCTCGGTCACGCAGACACGGTGGTGTTTGGCAGTGCAAAACCCGATGATGTTCCTGTGAGCTGGATAAAGCCTGGGGCCACTGTTATCTATGGTGCTCACGACCTTCTGTCAGGTAAGAGGTGATAAAAGGTAACAGTTCTTGCAAGTGGTGTACAGTGAGCCTTTGAGGTGTGTGTGGCACCTTGGTGACAGCGCAGTGTGGTTAAAAGCTGCATCTTCAAAGGTGTGTGTACAGGACATGTGTACACCTTCATCTGATGTATAAATAGGGAGAAAATGTTAGGTGAGAGAAGAAAGGTTGGAACAGATTCTTCATACCAAGATGGTTAGATAAGCAATGGATTCAGAGAGTTCAGGGAAAGACTTGGGTCATCAGATGAGCTATTGCATAGTGCTGCTTTGTACAGTGTCTTATCCTGTGACTCCTGTGGCCTCACCTGGAATATGGGAAGAGGAGAAGAAGGGAAGAAATATCAACTGCAAGTTGCTGTGAAACTGTCTGCAGAGAGTGGTGCAGGAGGGAGTACAGAAATCATGTCTAGTTAAGAAGAGGCAGAATGTCTCCTGCAGTAATTATTCCTGCAAAAAAGGGTTTGGATTCATCTCCTTCCTTTCCCCCTAACTTGTTATGGAGGGTGTATGTGTTCAGTAATTTCTCAGTTGAAAAAATGTTACAGAATGTTCTTGGGAATAAAATTAAGAAATTTTCCCGGAAGTTATTCTGCTGCTAAAATTACATGTAGTAATAATAATAACAGTGCAATTTTACATCTCCTGTATAATTTCTTAAAATTCTGTGAAGATCTCTAGATATTTTCTAGATTTTTGGTGTGTATATGAATTTGACTACTCAGCATCCCAATGAGATTATGCTGCAAATGAATAGGAAAATGAGGAAGTACATGGATAGCATGAGTGGTTAATCTGAGGTTTTTTTAAATCTTATTACAAGTGTACTAGATTGACATCTATTGGTACAAAACTATGGAAATGGGCATAAAGCTGAGAAAACCTAATTGCATGGGTTTTAAACTAGGGATATTCCCTAAGAGCAAGTTAAGCAGATGCTCCAGGCAGAGCTAATGAAAGATGAGGCTCATAATAAAGCAGCTGCTGTTCCCATGCAAAACATGGCCTTAGCAATAGATTTCTTGCCTTGTCTTTCTTGATAGCCTCTTGACTTAAACAGACACTGCAGGTGTGCAGATCTGGGTTATTATTTGTTGTCTGGAGGCATTTGGACCTTCATTTTCTATCTCCCAAAGCAGATCTCTGATCCTACTGAGGATCTCAAGGGTGGATACCAAGCCTTATCCCTTCCTGATGCTGCACAAGATGTCCAAAAATAATATGTTTTCTTTTTCCTGGACTGGTGACTGGGAGACTCCTTGCATCTCTAAAGCCTTTTTACTTCCTCTAGGGACTTTTGGATGTAATTGTTAAGTATCTGTAGGGCAGGGCTTGGCACACAGGTCTCTTCAGCAGGTAGCCAGCCTTCATGAAGTATGACACAGCCTTACATGAAGAAGGAATGGGGGAGAAAGGGAGCAGTGGTACAACAGTCATACCTACCTATAAATAAATTAATTAAAAGGAATCTCCCCTCCTCATTTTAATCTTGCAAGCAGAAAACTCTTATGTAACAGACTTGGGGTGGTTCTGGGATAAGCCAGTGTGTGCAGCCCAAGTGGGCACCAGACTGGACTCTCCCAGTACTGTACTGTGCTGTCTGGTGCAAATCCCACTTTCAGACACCTAATTCTCTCCATTAAGAAGTGAGTCTGAGCCTTCACAGACCTAAAAGTTATGCAGTATAACTGTATGCTGTGTCTTAAATATCTTAATGCCTTAGTTGCTCTAAAGAACTGTAGATAATACTAGTGTTTCCCTTCTCTGAAAGAGTGTTGTTAGAAAAGCTGCATTACATACCACAGTAACATTCATTCCTAATGCAGGAAATGTAAGATTTGGCATAAGCATATACATTTCTTTGCATTTTTCAAGTTGTAGCAATGTGCTCTGTTGAGTACTGCATTTTTTTGGAAAGGCAGCATGAGATTTTTATCAAGATAATTTAAATAGAATTTATGTACCAAATGTCTATCTGTCCTTATGGTTATTCTTTTGAGGTTGTCAGAACCTTGGAGAAACTCCAAAATTACAGCAGAAATGCATTTTACCAACTGTAAAAGTGTTTTTCTTAAGGCTTACTAGAGAGGTACATGAAACACAGGTGTCTGACAGGAAGAACACACTCAGTTTAGTTGCAAGATGTTTGTGGAAAGCCCATTGTGGAGTGGTTGTGACCTTGGAGAAACAACTGAATCTCATAACTGTCTCTGGACTTCCATGAAATCTGGCTGAGGTGCTTGGAAATTGTTCTGGATTTTTTCTTGCTTTAGAAATGTCCGGCTTAACATCTGTGGGGTCGCAGGAGCTAAATGAAGCCTGAAAGCAATAATGGTCATGAAGTAACTTTTGTTCCTGCTAGATGGTGGCTAGATTCCCAACTTGAGTGGGTGTACATGTCGTCTAACACACTCACATGTTTTAAAAGCACTCAGAATATGCAAGGACGTAGCTGAATTGGGGAAATGTAATGTTGTAAATCAGGAGAATAGAGATGAAAGTGTTCAGTCCAAAGTGACAATTCTTTTTCAAGTTTGTTTTTTTTTTGATTGAAGATTTTTAAATTATCACAATTTTAAAATATTCTGCAATTTTCTAGCAGTGCAACATCTGCTTGTGTTGTACTGACAATCTTGGATTCAGGTGAGTGCTGGTAGTATCTTGCAGGAATATACTTAAGATATAAAATGTACGGAAATGAAAATAATTTTCTGAACAAAACATAAGGAAGCCAGAATTATTTGGGATTTGATGTCCAACTCCTTTGGGGTCACTTGAAAGCTGAAGCCCACATGGTTTAAGTATGTTAGTGGGAAATTCAACCATTTCCCCACCTCTTCAGTATTCTAAGCTGCCTGAGCAGGCAGGTAGCACCTGACAGCTGCTCTCACTCATCTGCACAATAGGCTGTGAGTCAAAGGAGGGAGCACAGTGTCTGAAGTTCAGCTGATCTGACCATAGTCCGAGGCACAGAATGCTCTTCCAGCTTCCATCTGGAAAATGTATCCTAGGAGAGCTGTTGCAATCCTATGATTGTCTTGCTAACTCCATATGTGCATGACTTTCACCTCTAGTTTCACCTTCACCCCTGTAAAAGCCTGGTTAGTCATTTGTGGGGTGACTGTGTAGCATAGGCAGTCTGAGAGATAGTTTATTGAAGGGAATTGTCTAATTCTAATATGTATTTACACACATGCTAGCTCTGCCCTGATAAAAATAGTTATATGAAGCCAAATAACATAAAAAGTCAAAATGTTTCTGTAAAGCACAGCTGTCTGAAAAGGGGGTTTTAAACTTCATTCTTCCTACTTTATTTGTCTGTTTGGCAGCTGTCCCAGCCTGGTCTCAAAGCAACAAGAGTCAGCTTATGACTGTAATAGACTATTCCAGTAAAACTCCTCTGTCTAAATCTAAAGCTGAGCATCTCCAGAAGAAATTGTTGGCAGTTTGTTTGTTTGTTTGTTTGTTTGTTTGTTTTGATTGCAAGTGTTAATTCAAGTAGAAGGGCTTTTCAGACACTTTCTTAATTAGAGTTTAATATGAGGGACTGTTGCCTTCAGCTTGTTTAGCTTTGTCACTGATGTGTAGATGCCTGCTGGCAGGGAAGTTTGAGCAAGGGTCAGGAAACACATGGAATGAGGCTGAGGGTGTCTGCAGAGAGGGGATCTCTTGCTCTCTCAGCGATGGATGTGGGAGAGTGCTGCCACGCTGTCTCCAGTGTGAGTGTTCTGTACCCTGCTGCTCTGGCACCCTTGTTGGGAGGGGTGATTGTGCAAGGAAACGTGAGCCTTTTGTGTCCAGTAGGGAAGGGGTGAGCCGAGCACGAGCTTGACCAGGTCAGGGTTTGCACTTCAGTTCCCCCGTGGCAGAAAGGTTAAAGCTGTCAGTGTATAGTTGTTATTTTTTATTACAGTCATGTCTACGCCCTTCAGAATGTGGCTATGGCCTTGATATGCCCACAGAGACTAGGATGTGAATTTTGGAGAAATTGTGTCTAGTTAAAAGTCAGTGAGCAACAACAGAAGAACAAGCCAGAAGGATTACAGCAAAATGACAAAATAATATGTTTAGTTGGGGTAGCTTGATATATTGCCACTAAAAACAATTATAACTGTCTCTGAAGTTGAAGTCACTCTCAATTCTGTAGACCCTCCAGATTATACTTAATATGCTGATGAAGATAACTGTTGCTAATAAAAAAAATGCATATACTGTTTTCAAGTTATAATAATCCTGTATAGTATATGTGATAATTTCATTGTTCTTGCTCACTGTAATTGTGTGTCAAAGAGAAGACAGTCTTTAGCACTCTCGTTTAGGTGTTCTGTTTAAGAATGTATGTAGTTTTTCAAATACAGATGTGTGAATTTTTTTTGTGTGGGTTTGTGTAAATATGTTTCAGAGCATATATTTACTCTCTGATTTTCATAGTATATTCATCCTTCTGGGTGATTTCATTTGAAGTATTAAAGAAGCCACCTATAATTTTGTCAGTAATATTGTTAAATTTCAAGTCAACATTCAGAAATTTTTGATTTGGATGTAAGTTTCAAATATACATGCTCCCACTCATAAAAGATTTGTATTTTATTAGTGCAATACTTATATTTTTCAGAGAAACACAATGCCCAGCAAAACAACACTGCTGCTGAAAAGACTGTTGGTTCTCTTGCAGTAGCAATGAGAATGCAGGTTAGTTATACCTTTCAATGTTGTAGATTTGTTGCTCTTTCTTTAAGTTGCACAAATTGCTTCTAGTTTATATTTTAACTTTTGTTTTGCTCTTTTGAACATCTTATCTGACTTCCATTTTAATAGCAACTGTTAATCAGATAAAGTGATACCTATTGCATTTAATTAGAGAAAGATAAATTAAAATTCTGGTTAATTCTCGTAATTCTGGTTAATACAGTAAAGCTTGGCAGAAGCACTTGTGTCAATAGGCCAATGTCACTCTGATAAGACTGTGAAGATTGATTGTCTCTGTCCACGTTTTTGCATTATGATGGATAGAGAGTCCAAAAGTTTGTTATTTAATTTTGGAAGCAGCATGAGTCCGCCAATGAACAATCAGTATCTTCCGTTATTTTTAAGGTGTGAGAGAAGAATAGCAATTCCAATCTTACCAGAATAAAATGTACAACTGCTTAATTAGATACTCTTCTCTGCCACTTATGTGTTAATGGAGTTGTTTCTTTTTGAAAAGTGGTCAAACAATAGAAAAGTGGCTCTTACTTTGTCCTAAAAACCATGAAATGAAAAAATGTTTCAGTTTGGGGGTTTTTTGTTATCCTTTGCCATAGAAGTTATTTCAACATACTCTAGAGATTGTTTGAGATTAATGTTCAGCATTTATGATGCAGCTGTTGTGTGCTTGTTTAAAACCAGAACATGGTAAAAAACATGGAGCGATGGATCCACTCCCAGCGGCACAGGAAGTGGGACTTCCACAGCTTGAAACTGCAGCCCCTCTCCCCGGTGCCCAGGTAATAAGTGCTTTAAAAGAAAAAAAAGGAAAAATATTTTTTAAAAAAGCAAGTGTGACAACCTAAGAATGTTCTATGCCTAATTAATTTTTAATCTTATGTGGACTATATGTTGTGCCATGTTTATGCTTCATTGTGACCATGTGCTTCTGTTTGCCATCAGTTTTTATTTTGATGATGTGCATAGGATCCAAGCTTTATTTATTGAAGATATAAACCTGGAAGGTTTAATTGATGAAGGGAGGAGAAGCCTTGTGCAACACCAACAGAAATACAAAAGACAAGAAGTACCTAGTGGCTAAACCCTGATGTAGGAAGGTGTTCAGTTAAGGCTCAGTGATTTCAATGGCATTTGATTTTGTATTTATTTTTTTCCCTCAATAGAAGTACTTTCTTCTGCATTAGACTTTTAAATTCCTGTGTGGGTGTGAAAAAGCAGGAAGCATATTTATTCTCATAGCCAGAATCTTTTCAATCAGTTCCTGTCATTCACTTCCCAAGGCCCCTCTGGGCCTCAGGGATTTCAGGTCTGCCTTGGCAGGATTGCTGACATCTCTGGCATTTAAAGCAGCCTGAGCTCTTTACTGCGCTAAAGTGCTTTGCTGTGTGTTGGTTGTGTTGGGTGACAGAGAGAGGAACCAATGGCTTGAAAGTGAGGAAAGTGTCAACATTTTTTGTGCTTGTTGATATGTCTGCTTCTGCAGATGCTGAAGGTACCTCACATCAGAAGAAAAAGTTGGAACTGCATAGTCTGGAAATCAGGAGGATCTTATCAATGTGTCTAAATACAATGTACAATAATGCAAAGAGGAGCAAGGCAGGCTCTTTTCAGTGGAGCCCAGTGACAGAGCCATAGGCAGTTAGCGCAAACTGAAACCAAGGAAACTCCATTTGAACATCTTCTTCACTGTGAGGGTGGCCAAATGTTGACACTGATTGTGCAGGGTGGTTCTGGAGTGTCCATCCTAGGAGATATTCAGAAGTTGCCTGGATATAAGCAGCTAACTAGCTCTGCATGAACAGAGGGGTTGGACCAGATGACTTCCAGAGGTCCTTTCCAACCTCAGCCACTCTGTGATTCTGTAATTCTGAATCCTACTGGTGTCTTTTTGGAAAACTGTGACAAAAATGTTGTATTTTCTAAACATTTTGATTTACTTTTCACTGTCTCTTACAACAGTTTAATGGGAATGAACACAAATGTAATTTAAACCAGAGAAAAGAATGAGTTTTCTCCTGTAACCAGGGGCACAAGGGGGTAGAAATGCTTGAGCTTTTCTGGGCTATCATGTAACATTTATAGAATTGAAGCCTAAAATATCTATCCTTAAATAATACAATTAAAAGTTAAAGAATGCAATATCATGAGTGTGATGGTATTAAAAAAAACTTTCAAAAAAAGTATTCCCAACCCTCTCTATGACATTGTGTGTTTGGTACATAGATAATTACATAATAAATAAATAATGGTGTATGCACACACACCATAATATACACACTATAATATATATTATATAATTAGTAATGGGACTTGCATTTATCTGCTAACTCTATAGCTTTGTCTTTTTAATTTTAAATATAAAGAAACCTTTCAGATGGAAAGTATCCTGTAATAATATGTAAGCAGTAATACACCATGTTGTGTGGAAACAGATGGGGTTTTCATTGAAAGTGAGGCAAAGCTGCTTAAGCACTAAAACTAAGAACATCTGCTTTTTGATTTCTGTGAGATCTGGGTTGAAATATTTCCAAATATATTGGAAATGGAATGGAAAATTTTCTTACAGTATGCAGTAAAAAAAAAGTCAGGTGAGTAGATGTAGAGCCTTCCTCCATCTTTTAAATTTTTCTGCATTTTGTAAATTATCGCTTAGCATTGTCAGTGATGGACTTCTTCATGCAGAGGAATCACTTTTGCATATCTCGAGCAATACTGAATAACCTAACATAACATTTTGAATAATTCTGGTATTTCCAATACAGAGAATATATTGTCAGACTAAAAGAGTCAGCTACAAATACAGACTTCTGAAGTCCAGGTATCTTTATCCAGGTATCCAGTCCAAATCTTTAATTTCTTGTGTTTTAGGAAAATATATTTTGTAGGAGGAAAAAAATGCAAGTTAACTTTGTCGTATTAGTCTACATCTTTCTCCTCTTGCTAAATGTATCAATTATTTTAATAGGAGAATTGTCACCCTGAAAATTTTCCTTTCTTAGATCTTTACAGGACCACACTACCACCAATTTAGCAACAATTTTCTGGGACTTGAGTTGTTTATATATAATAATTTCTGAGTGAAAACTTCAGATGGTCTTTGTCATGTGATGTTTGTAAGCCACTCCATCTTGTGTTCTCGTTAAATTTTTATGGCTACTTGTGTTTGAAGTCACATATAAGAAGCCAAAGGTATATCCTTCTATGAAAGAGAATGCACTTAGTAAGTCTTTGAAAGAAAGCAGGTTCCAGTTTAGTGCTGTGATTGAGTAACTCCTTGTCCTGTAGTACTGGATTATGTCATTGTTTGGGTGGATGGTTTCTGGGTTTCACATAGCTGCTGCAGGGTGCAAAAGGGGGATACTTGAGAACTATAAATGAATAATGGAGCCAATTTAGGATTTTCTCAAAGAATTGCAAGCAATTAAGTTGGCACAGACTGATCAGCTGCTGGGTGGATGCAAGATGGCCAAAGTCCACACACAGAGTTGAGATCTGGTAGTAGTTTTTATGTTCACTATATGTAAGGTCTTGCAGAATGTTTGAAAGTTCAGGACATGAGCTTTCATGCCATTCTATCTTAAAAATACTGTCATCAACTGAAACTACAGGAAGAAATTTATCCTACTTAGGCTGAAGGTAATTTTTAAAGTTGTTTTTGTGGTAATGTGAGCGATTTAAAGCCCAAGGAGACACCTCTTCACATCCTGTGTGCCAGCCCCTGGGCTTCCGTGCTGCAGGAGCTTACAGCTGCTACACGCTTCTCTGGACATAATGGGCAACTTTCAGAAATGAAAAATCCATGATAGAGTATTAAATCCATAGACCTCAGGTTGTCCAGGTCAGGAATTGCAGAATACAATAGTGTCCCCTACAGCCACAGCTCCTCAGGGAATCTGTGTGCTTGCCTCAGCTGCTGCTCACCCTTGCTGGAGGTAGTTCATAAGCTCACTGGATGTCTTGGCTGAGCCCTGTGCTTTAGACTCCTGCTCCATGGCCATTCTTAGTTCAGCTGTGTTTTAGAAGTGCATGGGTTGGTCTTCAAATGCTTTGGATTTTTGGTGCTCTCGTGGCGGAGTAGCAATGTTGGCACTGCCCTTGGATGAAAGGCACTGCATGCACAAGCTTCGGGGTTAGCAAATGCGTTTGTGTGACTGTTGGCCAAGGAATGCATGCACTTTTTAGTAAATTGTATGTGCTGAAATATGCTGTGAGGGAAGAGAACAAAAGGGAAAAACAAACCCAGAAACATCCATTCCACTGGGACATGCTTGAGCATCCAGCAGACACATTTCTAGCTTGATATGAAAGCATTATGTAATATTTGGAGACTGATTAAACAAGAGCTCTCTGTGAAATTGTAACAATTAACAAACACTGTATGTGATTTTCAATGTTATATTAGGTGTTAGTTAATATTTTGGTTTGCTTAATAAAATGTGAGAGAGAATAGAAAAACTCATTACAGTAACTCCATTGTTGGATTATTTGCTGTTGTTTTGTGCTCTGTTGTCGACCACCTAAGCTGAGAGAAATCTCCTGGCTCCTATTTGTTTTCTTTTCCAGTGATATTGAGATTTCCCGAGCACAGAGTCCAAAAGCTGTTGATGTACTTGCCAAGGAGATAGGATTGCTTACAGATGAAATTGAGATCTATGGCCGAACCAAAGCCAAAGTACGTTTGTCCCTGCTGGAAAGGTTAAAGGATCAACCAGATGGAAAATATGTTCTAGTTGCTGGGTAAGAATGCTATGTAATGTCATTAATGTCCGCTGTTTCCACTCTTATTAATATAAACATGCAACTTACATCTTTTTTATACTCTGCACAAATAGGAATCTTGAATGTTTTCATCTGTGTGTTGCTCTCTTCTGAAAGTGAGCAGGTTTTGAACTTTTTTTGAAGTAACACAGCTTTTCTTCCAAACTCTTATTACTGAAGTTTATTTTATAAAAGGTAATTTGTTCTATGATTCTGTGAAATGTTGGTGAGTGGAGTGTTTTCTTACTGTTATATCAGAATTTTAAATGTTTAACTTGGATATTTAAGGCTGCTTGTATTGTGGCTGTTTATAAACAAACATTAACAGAAGCTACATGCTAATCTGTTGATATTAACAATAAATACTTTTTTTATTGAAGAACAGATTGCAAAGTTTAAAAAGTCATGTTTTTTCTCTGAAATGTAGACATGTCTCCAGGCAGGCTTATCCTGCTTGCTTTTCCCACGATTATAGCAAATGCAATGCTCAGCAGGAATTATGCACTTCTCTTCTGAAGAGCTTCAGGTTTTTCTTGCATTCAGTGACACGTTTTCATTCACCTGGTATACTAAGTGTAAACTTCTACTTGTGAACAAACATGTGAAGGTTTTCATTAATATTTAATTTGTAGTGTATTCTTTGTATTCTGAGTTAATCTATTGGTTGCTTCCTTTTAAGTAAAACCACTCAGGTTTAAAATGCAGTTTTGGCTGATCCAGAAGGAGAAGGCTGTTGTTAACCATTTTGATCTACTGATTCTCACTGTGGCTAGTGTTTCTCAAACTGTTTCCTTACTGCCTTCCTGTGGCAACAGCCTGGATTTCTGGCACTGTCTGAGATGGAGCTGTTGTAGACTGAGAGACTTGATGTCAAAAAGCTGAGGCAAGCAAGATGTGAAGCTTTGCTCAAAACTATGTGATACAAGTCCAGCATTAAAGATATTCCTGGAGGATGCTGAAGCTGTTAAGAGAAGGAAATAATATCTGGTTGAGCTTGGTTTCCTGTGGCAGAGTTTTGGTTTGGGTTTTTTTTGTGGCACTGGTTAAACAAAAACAGGCTCGACATTTGACTCAGTTTAAAGAAAGTTTCTGCCATGTATTTTCATGCTCGTGATGTCAACAGCATCAGTTGGTCATCATGCTGCAGATCAATCCAGACTTCCCTAGCACCAAACCTCTCGCAGAATAAGAGGTTATTTGAAGGTGTCTGGAGGTGCAAAAATAGCAAGTTACAAAGCCCCATTCAGGTGGATTTTAGTCGTGTCAGATTGCATTCACCATCACTTACAGTTTCTTTACACTGCTTTGCCTCCTGTTCTCCTTCAAAGAAGGTATCTTAAGCAGTTGTCACGGAAAGAAGTGCATTTACATGTGGAAGAAATGCAGTTTTGACCAACAAGATGAAAAGCTGGCAAAGAGTAGAAAATTGTATCCTCTTTTAAGTTTATGTAAAAAGGTACCAATACAGAATGGTGTTTCAGAAACAAAGGGCTGGATTTGGTACCTACCCGACTTGATGATGCAATATGTTGCTATTTGTAACATCTCTGAAGTCATTGCATATTGTGGGGTTAGTGAAAAGCCACATCTGCTGCAGGAGCAGTGCCCGGGCAAGGTCGCCACAATAGTGGGAGCATTCTCTTCTGAGAGAGTTCAAAGCTTGATTTTGAAATATAGTACATATAAAATATACATATAATGTGTGTTTATATGCTCTTAGCTGCTCTCCTCTGCTGAAATGGCTGTAGCAATGACAATGTTAAGAAAAGCAGGGAGCTCTAATGGGGAAATTTTCAATGCAATGAAAATCAAGTATCAGTGAAGTGTGGAAACTGGGGAGTGAAATAGTATCCTCATTTGCCTTCATTCTGTCCCTTGCCAAGGCAAGGTCAACCAGAACCTGCTGTTTGGATTATTATGTTTGTTCACAATAACCAAAGATACTTAAAAATTCTTTTAGAATGATGCAGTATAGATCTTCAGAATAAATCTTCAGTGCTTCAGAGGAAACATTTAAGATATATGTTTATACTTACGGTTCTGGTGGAAATATTTGTAATGTATGATGGAAACGTCTCGTGTGTGAAAAGAGTGCAAAGAGTGTGAGAGTGTGTGTGTGTGTGTGTGTGTGTGTGTGTGTGTGTGTGTGTGTACTCAAGAAACTACAAAACCTCCAACCTCCATCCACGATGCAGCCAGCAACATTTGTTCCTTTAACGGCACATTCAGACTTAAGTGTTTCACAATGTCTAGGAATTTATAAATATTTGCTGTAAATGCATGTATAGTTTATTCCTGATATACTAAAGACCAAACTTCTTCTTCTGAACAGGAAAACGCAATTGAAATGTACCTTTTTATCTCTGAGGATAGTTGTATTTATGGCTCTTTAAAATGTTGCTAACTGCAAAGTCTTTTTTGTTCTTTCTGAATGCAAACAAATGTTGCTAAGTGTTTCATCTAATATAAACTTTGTATGCTGAAATATTGCAGTTTGATTAATGGATCATGACACCCGAAAATAAGATGAAAACTTTTATTTCTTCATAAATTCCATTTACTTCTGTTTTGAGACCGTTCTTTTAACTTTTTTTCTTCTTTTTTTCCATTTTTGTTTTTTAATTTTCTTTGTCTATGTTTGGCTTGCTATATAGGGTTCGAGTTAAGACGCTGTGGGGGCAGAGCCACAAAGTATCATGGAGTAATTGGTTCTTGGGCATCAACTGCCTGTAAACAGGATTTTAGTGTGCTGAATAATATGTTGCAGGATCTGTTAACTCAAACTACCTCCATTCATTGCCAGCTGAGAACATCCAAATGAATGCAGCTTGTGCTTGACCTAGGAGCTAAGTTTAGTGTCCAGGGTAACCTAATCATGCATTCAAGCATGTAGATGGCATATTCACAGACACCATATGAAATTACAAGTGCAGTTTGTTAGAATCTATGTCTGTGTGTGTGTATGTTTCAGAGTCTTGTTTCTAAATGCTCCAGTGCTGTGGCTTTTAGCAGATAATTCTGGAAACTTGTTCACTTCAAAAATGCAAGATGAGGAAGAATAAAAAGAGGGAAAAATATGAAATACAAAAATACAATGCTGCTTTTAACAAGAAGTGTGTTGGATTTTGAATGCTGGAAAATTTAAAAATCAGTACTTTTCTCCTAACATTAATAGGTTGTTCTGTGATGAACTACATTTCCAGGAAGATAAAATGGAGGAAAAACAAAAATGGATTGTATTTCTTTTTACTGTGTCTCTTGGAATGCAAGGTGCTTAAAAGCTAAGAAAAAAAGAAAACAAAAATTAGAGTAGAGATACAGGGAAGGATAAGAGGGGAAAATACCCCTGTGTTGATGGCCTAAATTGTCTGACAGTCGAAAGTAAAGTCATAGTTGTGATAGTTGTCACATATTGGTCATGTCATTACACAGCTCCTGGTTGGGATTGTCTTGTATGAGTGTGTAGTGGAGGATTCCTCAGTCTATTCCTGCCTTTGTTCAGTCATTTTAGCTTCACAGTGATCTCTGCTTTTGTATTTGGAAGCACCAGTCCCAACTCAAGGATGCCACTGCAACATTGTCTTAACCTCATCTGGATGAGGTGACAGCAGCTTCTGTGCTCAGAAATGCATTTCTGACAGCTGTAATTTAGGATGGGAGATGTACATAGGTGGGAATTCAGTTGCCCATGGCCTCCGTAGCCTGGCTTTGCAGGTTTCCCTGTGGATCACAGGAATTACAAACTCATTACATTGAATCTGCTGATACCTATGAGTCGAACATAGGAAATTTGAAAGAGAATTGTCACATATCCAGTAAAGTTCTCGCTGGAGTCACAGTGGCTGGTGTAGCTGTGAGGAGGTTACAGCTGGTGCAGTGTATGTCTCCCTGTTTGTTTATTTTCTCTTTGGGAGACCTCATGTAGCTTTCCCACAGAAACAGCTCTGCTGTAAGCTAATGTGATGTATAACAAACAAACAAGAAGTCTGCATATTCTTATCTTTGTTTTGATATACATAAGGAGAGAAGGCTTTCCAATGTTATGGAAAACTTACTTTGCCAAGGAGCTGATGACTGCTTGGTAGGTGGCAAAGTTTAAGGCGGAAAATTATTGTGGGATTTCTGTGTTTTGATTGAAAACATACTAAAGAAATTTGAAGAATAATGCAAATCGCTGTTAGTCTCTTGAAGTTCATTAAAATTTATTGCATTTTAAAAGAGGTTTTTCCTCAATTTGCATAAGGTTAAAACACAGCATCGCACAATTGAGCTAAAGTTAGCCATTGGCTGTTGTAATTTTATACCCATGTGAGCAAGTGACCTAAGCCAAAAGAGTGTAGACTCAGTAGGGTAGCCAGCAAAAACAGCTCAGTGTCCACAAAATAGCTTAAGTGGATTATTTTATTTATAAAACCCAATCAAATTAGAGCAGGTACAAAAGAGAAGATATTTAAAATAAGCTTTCAAAGGAAAATTATTGGAATAGAATTTTCTTTTAATTTCAAGCGCCTTTTATTCTTTTTCTTTTAAGTCATGTTTAAAGCTGAGATTTTGGTAACTGTTGAAACTAATAAATAGCTGTTTAGCTCTTGAGGTTTCCTGCCAGTTTCATCAATGAGAATGATGTGTTGCTCTTTTTTGCTTTCTGGAAAAAGGTCTATCTCATAGAAAACTCCCAGTGCTTTCTGGTTCATATTACATATTCATGTTAGAATAGGCCAGTCGAGTTACCAGAGCATTTTAGTAAGGTGACACTTCATAGTGTGCTGTTTTCTTCTGTGACAAGTAGATATTATTCTTTATGCTATCAATATGCATTCTGGTTATGCATTTTTCAATTGTAGTTTCCAGGAAGCTGCATCTTTGATTTTGCTGGTTTCATAAGAGTTGCAGAGAGTCCCTATGTTGTTGTGCATGCCAGATCAGCCACCTGCCATGTTTTGAGCTGAACCAAGTAAATAACTAGGGATGGTGTCTCCAAATTTTCTTGAGTGTGAACTTCATATATCTGATGCTCAGAAATAGAGGTAGCCATCAACAGGATGGCCTGCAAATGCAAATTTTTCTGTTAGTAGTGCAACCGTTGTGTGCACTGAGATTTTTGGATCAAAGGAAAGTTCTTTACTGGTAACTTCCAGTAAACAATTATAGGTGTCTCTTTCATAGTAGAATACTTTTCTTTTGCGTGTTTTGTTACTGTTTTATCTTTTTGTTTTGTTGTTATTATTTTTAAATGATTGATAGCTTCAAGAGTTGTTACCTTGTTAAGTCTTTGAACACAGTAATGCCTCAGGATTACTCATATATTCCTTAAATCTGGGTTTAATGCACAGGAATAAGAGGATCAAGTAAATGAGATTAGGACAATAGATAAAAGTGAGTGAGATAGTAGGAGAACAAGGGGCAAGGAGAAACCATGCTAAGAATTATTTGAATGGGTTTGGGGAAACCCATGTTAGAACAGTAGTCAGAAGGTGAAACATAGTATAAGTGAGTTAACCTGACTGTGGTTCTCTGAAAGAAACACATTTGTTCAAAAGTAAGGATCCTGGGACAAAAAGGAGGTGAGAAAAAGAGTGGTGGGAAAAAAGGAAGCTATCCTTGTGGAAAGAGTAAAACCCTGAGGACTCCCTGTCCTGACAATGTAGAGATTAAAAGTATCCTTTCTTCTAGGAACTGCAAATGCTAGAGTGAAAAAAATGCACTAGCATTCTGTGCTCCTGCAGTAGATCAGAAGGAAATAAGAAGTCCTAGTGTGGATAAAAAAAATGACAGGGACCAAAACTGCTTTTGAGAGTAGATAAAGGATATGCTCTAAATCTCCCACCTTTTTTTTGGCTATACATAGATACTTTGCTAGAATTCTGTGATTTCCTTTTTAAGTTAAAGAAGTGCCCATTCTAGGATAATGAAATAGTCTGAATATGAAGTTATGGATGATGTTTTAGAATCTGATGGTTGGTGAACACAATGTTATAAAATGTGGAAGAAAATTGCTAAAACCAAGAGTACCCAAAGTGGCCCATGGTCATATAAGAGTAGATCAAAGCGAAGAATTCAGGGAATCTCTTACAGATGTGTTTAACCCCATTAATTTCGCTGAAACTGTAGTTAAAAGAATACTTTTCTGAATTCTAATTTTTTTTCCTAGTACAATATAAAGATGTTAATTTTACTTGCTTCCAAACTGTTCAGTTTTTTCCAGACATATCTATACATGGCATCTTTTTTAAAGCCAAGGATGCTGTAAAAGATTTGTGAAAAGTTAACGTTTTTCATATATTTTCTTTTGTGGGATGAAGAGGGGCTTTTGCCAATCTGTGAACTGACTGAACTAAGCTGAGTCTTACAATTACAGTACTGTTTTTGTGCCATCTGAATTGTGATCTGAGGATAGCAATATCTTTGAAAAATTACTAGTTGGGGAAGGAAATGTTTCTAATTAGCGCTAGAAGTTTCAGCTCAAGTTTTGAAGAGGTCGGGGGTAAGGGTTCTCCTTTGACTAGGATCCATGTGCATGCTTGTATTTCCTTGGGAATGGCCTTTAGTTCTTAACACCAGCTTCACTAAAGTACTTCTCTTCAGGTGGAAAAGGCACCGAAGATATGAATGGTTACAATTTGCCAAAAAGGAAGATTTGTGTGAGAGTGGTATGAGTGGAAAAAAGGCTGGGGCTTTCTTCTTTTGCCAGTCAGAAAAAGGAAAGGCTGTGCCTCAGAAGAATCATTGAAGTGCATTTTGGATCCATGAGATGTGTTCATACCTCAAAAAAGAAAAAAAAAAACAGAAAGAGAAGAAAAACCCTAGCACCCCGCATACACTTTTAACATGGATCATAAGCAAATGTGCTGCTGTTGAAAGCAGCATTTAATCTGAGGTGTCTCTCATTCACTGAAGGCTGATGAAGTTTTCTACTTGCAAAATCAGCTGTCACTGTCCCTTTATTAAAGGGGCAAGAACAGAACCTCCTCTAAGGACAAGAATAGAGTGGAGGTTAGATTTGATCTCTGATTTGAGTTTGGAGGTCTTTTTAAAATTCTGTTTCAGTCATGGTCTAAATATAGGAGCTGTAGCATGAAGCTTTGATCTTTTGTATGGACTATGATTGTCATTGTCCCCTATTGCCCTTAACTCTCTGAAACAAAAGTGTACAGTAAATCACGTTCAATTGAATATAGTGAATTTTGTGTCCTGTTTTGTTTAAAATGCAGTTGTTCTGTCATTGTTGAGGGTTACGGTGACATGGAAGTTGGAGAGGCATAGTTGAGTTCTACAAACAAAAGCATTGGTTATTTATTGTAAAATATTCTATTATTTCATTCAAAGTTTGAGCAGTGGGAATAAAAGATCTCATGCATTACTGCAGAAAAATATTAATACTGCTTAGAGTATCATGATGGATGGTTTGTTAATGAAACTGGTGAGACTTTTGAGTTGTAATAAAAATGTCTAAATTCAATATATTCTTTTTAGAACTTTTGCCAAAATAATCTTCTCTTTTTCTGCTATCATAGTAAATTGCTTAAATAGAAGACACATGTATATTAGCATTCCAGCTTGAGCTAGGGGCTAACATTGTGGCAAGTACTTTTGTGAAGATAAAGTAATCTTATTGAAATTTGCTGTACAAATATTCTTCATTGAAATCAAAAGCTCTTAGTTCTGATATCCTGAGCCAGGCTGACATCAGCAAAGAATTTGATTAATCTTTTTTCTTGTTTTTCTAGAATAACCCCCACACCCCTAGGAGAGGGGAAAAGTACAGTCACAGTTGGTCTCGTTCAGGCGCTTACTGCACACCTTAACATTAATTCCTTTGCTTGTCTGAGACAACCTTCTCAAGGACCTACTTTTGGAGTGAAAGGTACATAATATTTGCACAACCTATCACCTCTTTCATATTAAAAGCAAATACTGCTTTTTTTTTGCCTTTTAAAATTTATTTATTTTTTTAATTTCTCAATTGCTTCACTCAGTGGATTGTCGCAGTAGAAGCATATTCAATTTTTAAATTACCTATATAACTAATAGATAAGGGTCTCTTGCATTTGACTTCCTGTGCAAGGTTCATACCTATGTTCCTGCACTTAACAGGTATTGATAATGCAGATAAAGCCTTAACATAATGAAAGGCAGAGGAAAGTAATTAGCCATGAGGAATTTTGTGAGTACACACCCTTCCAGCCACCCCTCCACTTGGAGACTCTTTAAATATGTTTCTAAATATTGCTGTCTAATTATTCCTTGAGAAAGGGTCCACATTGGATATTTCCAAGCAATACAGGGAATCTAGCAGTTGTGGTTCAGCTGTGTCACCAGCACACTTTTGGCTGGGTCTGAACCTCTTTTCTCTGTTCTCCTGAGCTGTCACCTCTGATCATGTGCTGCTGCCTTTTTGCCTAGAAACCCTATAAGAGCCTGAGGACCAAGTAAGACCCAGACAGATTTCAAGCCCATCTTCAATACTGATAGGAAGTAATGCAATCTTTCTTTTGCCATTTCTCAGCTGAAATTGGTGCCTAACTGGGCAAGCACTCCCCATCTGCTCTGCTTTGCTTTGCTGAAGTTTAAGTTCCAGCCTTCAGCTGGAAGGCTCCTGGTGCTTGGTACTTCTCAGCTAAGACTGGTGCATGTGAGTGCTTTAATCCCTCCACTCAACTTGTGCATAGGCAACAGCAAATTTCTTTGCCTGTACCATGAGAGGTAGAGGGGAAGGAATGCTCAGGCGAGGGTGTGAAGGTTTCATTCAGAGGCAGTGTTTGCTTGTGACTGCTTTGTCTTTCCACCCAGCAGCTGCATGTGCATGACTGTATCCTAAATCTGGGCAGGAGCCGAGGGTAGCCCTTACATAGCCAGAGCCTGCACCACCCATCACGTGTATGCTTTCATTTCAGAGCAAGAATTCCCTTTTTACTACCTGCTGAAAAAAAAGACCAACAAGATTAAGGAAATCATGTTTATTTGAGTGCATCACTGATCATCTAATAGAAATCAAAATGCCAAGAATGTGTCATCATTGCTGTATGTTTCACTTTGTGTATTTAAAGATAGTTGTTTTTTTCCAAAACTGATGTGACCGTTTGCTTCCCTGTGCAGGTGGAGCAGCTGGAGGTGGATATGCTCAAGTGATCCCCATGGAGGAGGTGAGGCAGCTTCAACTTGCAGTCTGTGATGTGGCTTAATGGACATGGTGGTATTCAGTTGAAGATTGGACTTGATGATCTTGGAGAATTTATTCCATCCTTAATGATTCCATGCTATTCACAGTGCTTGTTTGGAATTATGTGGCAGTTTCACCCCAAGAGAGTCTAATTCAGAGCTCAGCAAAACCACTCTATGGCCAGACCTGGTGAGGAATCACCTTGACCGTGCACAGCTGGTCCAAGCAGAGTTCTAATGTCAGCCCTGAAGTGCCATTAAAACTGACCTTCCAACTCCTTCTGTCAGATATATAAAAAATACACTACCTATTTAACATAAGTCTTAATTTAAGATGCTCATTTCAGAGTTTTCACAAAACTGTGTTTGTCAAACTTTGTATCAGCAAAGTTCATGCCTGGGAGGTTAGGAGCTGTTCTCCTGCAGCTAACAGAAGGCTGGCATATGACCCCAAAGGCAGGATGCAGGCTGTGCTCTGGGGCAGATTGAGCAGTAATCCACACCTCTGGTCCAGGTCAATTAGGAGTTAGTAACGCTAAACTGATTCAGTATTAATGATGTGGAGCTGTAGCTCTTGGCTTCTTATTCTTGAATCATTTAGCAAAGAATGATGTTCTTGGCTTTGGCTACACTTAGAGTAGTTTACCGTGTACTCAGATGGAAACAAGTCCTTCACATGGCCCAGTTTATTTTACCTGGAAACCTTTAGCCTACCCTGACAGCTGACTGTCCTGAGAGCTTCAGTCTCAAGGAGATTGCAATGATTTGTGCTGCTAATTTGTCTCAGTGAATTGAATTAAATCTTTTCTTATAAAAAGATCTTGTTGTTTCCTCCTTCTAGTTCAATCTTCATTTGACTGGAGATATTCATGCTATAACTGCTGCAAATAATTTGCTGGCTGCTGCTATTGATGCTAGGATCTTGCATGAGAATACTCAATCTGATAAGGTGAGAATTATTTTCTCCTATCCAGACGACATATTTTATTTTCAGTATTCCAATAAACTGCACTTCAGAGAAAAACATATTGTTTATAATTTTATATTTTCACCATGTGAACAGTAAGCCATTTTATATTCTACTGGGGAATTTTCCATATACAATGTATTTTTCTGGCAAATAGCTATCATAAGGTAGTCTGTAAGATAAGGATCTTATGCCCAGAACATTGACAACTATTTCTGACTGTACTAAATAGTGTAATAAAGCATATTTTCCCTACCTATAATCCTATTCTTTTCAGTAATTTGAAGACTCGCTTCAAAGTTACAAATTGTATTTCTGATGTGTAGTTGGGTATGATGTACCTAAGTAGAAGGAGTTATGGGAAAAATAAACTAGATCCTTATCCTTCTTCTAAATATATTGTGACCTGAAACAAATCTTAACTTGGGCCTTTAAAGGGAAGGGAGAGGATCAAAGAAGGAGCCTCTCCTTTCTGTCTGCAGGGTTGTCATATTACGTTTGCTTGGTATATTTGTACACAGTGTACAAGTGTACATTTTGGCCAGTTTGGAAATTGTAATTGTAGTTTAAATACTTTGGATTTTGGTTAAAGTTTTGAAAGACTCTCAGTTTCAAAATTAATATATATTTTTTTGGTGAAACCTAGAAAACCAATTATTTCTGGCAACTGGATTTTATATTGTTAAATCATAGACGTGGCTCAGAAACCTGCGACCTTCTCAGAATTGTTTTTTAAATCTCTAACCAGAAGTCCACAACCTAATATCGTTATTCTTACTGAAATTAGGTGGAATAAATTTAAAAAGCATTAGCTTTTTTTAACTTTTTCTTTCAACTTCTTGTGTGGTTTTTCTAGTCTTTGTATAATAGGCTGGTTCCAGTAGTTAATGGCGTGAGAGGATTTTCTGCTATTCAGCTTGCCCGTCTGAGAGTAAGTTGTTAATTCAGTTGTTAACTCCTCAATTATGGTGTCTCTTTCTGAAATGTATTCTGTTTCACAACTTGTTTAAAATTATTTGATGTATGGGACTGAATTTGTATAAACCCACATGAATATATCAAGTCTAGACTTCTTTTCTGAAAGCATCATCCTTGAAGTAATAGGATCTGGGTCTGATATTATTTTTATAACTAACATTTTTGCTATTCTTTTCTCCTGAAATAAGCCAGTAATGTTTTTAAATGCTGTGTGTTTTCTGATGAAATATTAGAGGTTTTAAAATACTTTTCCAATTATGGTATAGTCACATTTGAAAGCTCACATTCTTTGGGTTTGCAATATTTTCTGATTTTGAAAGTTTAATATAGCATATACTTCTGAGGTTTTATTGATGTCAGTCTGACAGTGTTCTTCTTTCAAGGGGTTCATTTGTATGCTCAGTATATTTTTGCATCCCATCTTGCTCCCTGAATGTTTCCAGAAGAGCTTCCTGTGCAATTCATGTGTGAATAACATGTCTGGATTTGAGAGTGCCATTCTGATAAAAACCTAGAGAGGATCACAGTCCACTAGTGTAGGAGAAAGAGAATACGAACTCCTCAAATATCACCCTTAAGGACAGCTCCAGTTTTTCTATGGCCAGTTCTGTGTTTGTTGTTGGCTTGTAAGTCCTGACTGATTGTGTTTCAGTCATTGGATGGCAACGAACAGCTGCCAAGTGTACACTTGGAATTCGGGGGTGGAAAGAAGGATAGAGGTAGTGCCAGCTTCTGTCTTGGCAGAGGGTTAAAGAGTTCCCATAACATTTTAAGCTTTTGTGCTGCTCAGTTGAATGTCAGTAAACTAAAATGAGGATGATGCCTACTTGGCTCTAAAGCAGAGTCAAGCTCAGAGATTGTTGTATCAGAATTTTTGGGATATTTTCAGTATGTTCTTGTTTGCACTGTTACAGATAACAGGTTAGGGAAAGAGGAGGAGTGTTTGTTTTATTCGTGACATACCCACTATCTCTATATTTGAAACGGATCTTTCACGTGAGCTGCAACTGAGTAAATGGAAATTTGGCTTTATAACATTCAAAAATATGAATCATAATTTCCAATAAAATTGAATTATCCTGCTGTGTTCTCTGTGCAATGATTCCTTATATCTAACAAGGTATCAATTGTAAAGGGATCACTATGGGACCAGATTGCATTTTTCTCAAAACCGGATTACTAAGATTGAAGCACCTCACTTATGTGTGTGGGGTTGATAAGGCAGAGCAGCTAAACCATTTTAAACAAATAAGCCATTTCACTGTACTTACTGAACTTGTTTGTGTGTAGAGGCTGGGAATAAACAAGACTGATCCTGGGACTTTAACAGAAGAGGAGATCAGCAAATTTGTGCGCCTTGACATTGACCCATCAACCATAACATGGCAAAGAGGTATGTAGTCAGAAAGCCTCACTTCATCTTGGATTTCATCGTAACTTATCTCCTAATTTGCTTAATTTAATCTGGTTCAGAACCGTTTATGTTCTGACAGCAAGAATAACCAATTTGTAAGTGAGAAGTGTGGATTCATAACAAATGCAGCATGTTGCTCTAAACTTGGTCAAGTATCTGCAATTGATCAAGAGACTAAAATTCTGAAAGATGGGTTTCTTTGACAGTTTAAATACATCCCCAGTTGCTCTCACATTAGGTAATACCTCTCCAGACATGTGAAAATGTCTTTTCTGTGCATTTGCAAATCTTAGCCATAATTTCCTTAACTGTGTCTGTTATCGTTCTAGATTGTTTGTGTTTATTCTTCTTGATTTTAGTCCTTCATCCTCCCAATATCAGCAGCCTGGGTAGCTCAAGAGACTTAATAGGCTTAAGAGATTATGTGTTGTTCTGATTTTTGAAGTCTCTTGAGTTGTTTACTTCATTTGGAAAAAGAGATGAAAGATGTGGTACTGTTACCAAGCAAACTGATACCCACTCTGATACCTTTAGACAATTCCCCTGTGCTTCTACCAGTTCTAGTGCTGGGTCATATTTCAGTGTTTACCTGTATTTCTATACCTATCTTTTTCTTCTTTAGGGAAGTAAACTCTGCATAAAGTTTTGAGCTAAATACTGCTGGATTTTATTTTCTTTCATGATTCTTAAACACTAAAGTTATCACTGTTAAATGGAATGTAGTGATGCTTAGAAAAAAGTGTGAATCTATTGAGAAGGGAGGAGTCTTGGCCATGCTTTATTGTGGCCTTTGTGTGAATGTCATCTCAGACTTGGGATATTTTTTCTCAAGATAATTCTGGAGATGTGGCATAAGATGTTTTTTATTAGTCACACAGTGTGTCTGGAAGAGACCTGTAGTAGGATAAAGAAGTAATATAAATGTTTAGTGTAATATGACTCCTCTTTTTTATCAGCATGGGTTTGGGAGGAGGCAACATTGCTCAACAGCTGTTAACCTCAAGGGAGTTATTTAATTAATCTCAAACAATGTTAGTGAAATTTCTATTCCACACAGCTCTATATGATGTACATACCTTAAACATTTTAGGAAAAAAAACTGGGTTTAGGAATGGTTTAGATAACTTGGAGAATGTTTTATTTAGTACTTTTTCTGCAGTCCATATGTCTATGAAGCTTGTTACATACCAGGGAATTTGTGAAAAAGAACTAAGCTATCAGATCTTCTGAAAATTAACTTCAGGACCTGTTTCCATAGAAGTATCACAAACTTTCAGTTCCTTGTTAGCTTACACTAACTTGAAAACGTACAATATACTGAAAAGTGGGAAAGTTTCCCCCTTCTTTTTCTTTCCATGATAGTCAGATTCTGTTTACATCTCTAGAGGATAAGGAAGTGGATACATTAAGCCTAACACATATTTGAACCTAAACCTTAGTGAAAGGTTTACTTTGGGTGAAAGAAGAGGGAAGATTTGGAGAAGGAAAAATTGCTTTTATGGGAAAACCAGTTATTTCTTATTTTATTACTACTTAGTGCAGTTTTTGGAATCTTCGTGGAGAGTGAGTGACCACAGTGAGAAAGTACGTGTGTCTCAGTGACCGGGAGTTGCAGGAGCAGTTACAGTTTCATGGTAAGGGTGTTTAGGTTACATGATTTCACAAGGAAGGTCCAGATAAAAAAGCAGCTCAGTGGCTGTCCAGGCTGGTGGGAAGGTGAGTTCCTGCCCTCAGGAGTGGCTGCATAGACAGGAAAGACATTTAGGTCTGCTTAAGGTGTGTTATGAGACTGAGCTTCCGAGGAGGAGAAGGGAAAAGTTTGTATTGGAGAGATCAACTTGCCATATGGCTTCATGGTGCCATATGGCACCACAGCTTGGTGCAAGGCTACAGCTTCCATGTTCCAGGCTCTGTCCTGCAATTTCTGCCAGTAGTACAGTATTTTAGAGTATGACTGTGTATATATAGAAACCAAAATGAATTGGCCAAATGTGTGTTGCACCATCCCTTAAATGGAATTCCTGAAGAAATTAGGGGCCTAAAGACTGAGTAGAGGGAAGAAGGTATGTGTGGTATTTACAACAGCCCCAAGAGAAATGCCCAAGGAGGGGGGAAGTGACTTAAGTCTTGGTTTACTTCCAGCTAACTCACAGCCCTGAACTGGGGTTGTGTAACATTAACATTCAAAGTCCCTCTTTGTTCTTGGGTAATTATGTCATCTTTTTCTGTACAGACAGAATTTGTTTTAAATCTCCAAAAGCAGCAGGAAAAGTGGTAGAAGCTCACTTACCTTGAGTACTGACAGTTTCTCTGGAGGTTCCTGGACTCTCAACTTATAAATGAAAAGGACTCCAAGTCTACCAGAAGATTGAGTTCATTGCCAAGCTACAGTCTGAACTTACCAAGAGTACCTTGCACCCTTTATTTTAGGATTGGTTCGAACTTAAGCATTTCTAGGACTACAGAGCCTGTAAGAAAAAGAGAGTCTATTTTTGAGTTCTGTAGGAATTGACATGTCCCCTTGTCCTATCACTACATGCCCTTGTAGAAAGTCCCTCTTTGGACCCTTTAGGTGCTGGAAGATGCTATAATGTCTTCCAAGAGCCTTCTCTTCTCTAGGCTGAACAGCCCCAACTCTCTCAGCCCGTGTTCATATCAGAGGTGCTCCAGCCCTCTGATCATCCTCATGCTGTGCAGCATCGAGTGAGTTAGTTACTGTGATGCGTGTGAAGATACTTGTCTGGAAGAACCCATCTGACAGCATAATCATCCTTTAAAAGAGGAACTGGCCAAGTCTAACCAACATCATACAATCTTAAAATCAATTCTTAACAAGTCAGTGATGAAGCAGATGATTTGAAGTAGATCTGGTGCTTTGTATCTACTAAGACTGATTTTTCTTGTTTAGGTAAAATACTAAATTGTATGTTAGAATACTAAGAACCTGTTAGCTTCAAATGCTGTTCAGATAACGTGTATTTGTCAAATACAGGTCAAAACAACCTGTCATTGAATATTATCAGGTAGAAGGGAGCAACCAAGTCAGTGCCAGTGGTTATCTGGTTACACTGTTGGAGCAGTTCAATCTTATACACGTAACAGCAAGTATGCCTGGAAAAACCCATATTCCCGAGTCCTTGTTAAAATGCTTTGCTTCTTCTATTCCCTTATTTCAGTGGTGGATACAAATGACAGATTCCTGCGCAAAATAACAGTTGGGCAGGCAAATACGGAGAAAGGATTTGCCCGTCAGGTATGTACAGGCATAATAAATCATACTCTGGACAGACTTTGCATTAGAGGCTGAGAGAGTTTCTGCAGTTCTTTCAGCATACTTTGAGTTGCAATATTGACATCTGTTGCTGTTGTATAGTAATCTTGCAGTGAAACTGATTGTGTTCATGAGTAACTGAATCTGAATTTTCAGAAACAGAAATCAATGCATATTCTACAATGTGTCAAAATACCTTAAAAAATTGCATGTGTCAGGGTTTAACATTGTCCTATGACAGATGCCTTTATGCCCTCATAAAGTTAATTTGTATCACTTTTAATTTTTTTTTAAATCTCTGTAACAGGTTATGTAGGGTACATGTAATTCAAATTACATTTAAATTTAATTTTAAAAATTGTCTAAAAATAAGCTTTTTATTCAGAGTTCTCATTTCCCTGTCATGCATCTCAGCTTTGGAATCTGAACTGTAAGAACCTTAAGCATGTGCTTTCTTCTTCTATGTGGGCTTGAAGGAATAATTCAGGAAATAAGTATGTGCATACTTTTCAGTGGTGTAAAAAGCTAACCTGCATTACTATATGAGAGATTTTGGAAGTTTATTGAAGAACTTACTGATAAATTGAAAGCCAGACTTTCCCAACACCTCCTGAACAAGTGTTCCTGGTGTAATGTAGGTAAATGAATTTCTGAAACAACACAGCATGGAACAGCAGTGTCAGGAAGAGTGAATGTTACAGTGATGTGGAGTTTTTCCTAATTTAATGAAGATCTTGTAATCTAATGTTCTGGATAGTGAAATTCATGAGGTTCTATTTTGATGTGAACAGCTCTTGTGGTAGAGATAAGACTTCCACATTTTTGGAAATCCTAGCTTGAATTTTTCTTTACCATTTCTTTAACATTTTCTTTAACATATGCCTAAATAAAGAGACCAAAACATATTGTTATATTTTTTGCAGCAGGTAAAGCAAAGCCAAATTGGAGTGAAGAACTTCAAAGGGAAATCATAAAATCCTAGAGGAGTTTGGGTTGGAAGGAATCTTGAAATTCAACTAGTTCCAGGCCCTCTGCCCTAAGCAGAGACACCTTCCACTAGAAATGCTCACTTATTTTGGTTTTGAATGCACAAAATGGAAATTTTTCTGTCTGTAGCTCACAGGAAATTCAGTATTAGCTAATAGTCATTTCTGATAATGGGTTGGGACTACAAAATATTATACTTGGTATGAATTCCTTCAACACTTGAGACCTTTTGATATGTTTAGATTTGTTTCAGTTACTCAATATGATTATTAGTTTTAGACTGGGTTCTGCCAGCCTTATTGTGTAGTGTTTTACCACTGTAATTGTACTACTGAGTTAAATGTAGTTTATTTTATTATAGAGTAGTACTTGACAATATTGCTGTCAAATGTTGCTTCTGTACTTTTTCAGGTAAAATTAATGCTTTCAGTACTGAGATGTTGGACTGATGCATATCCATTCACATTTTAACATGGACGTAGTGACTCAAGAAATAGAGCTAGCAGTTAGGAAAACTCATTTCAGAGCCTAGCCAGGGATCCAGAGAAAACAGGACTTCATAGTTAACAGATGCATTTTATAAATATTTGGAGTGATGTTCTAGCGCTCTTAAAATCAATGACACCTGTGTAAAATGGCAGAACACAGCAGGCACCAAAGTCTGCATTTTAATGAACAGGGATGCTGTGGTTTCTGAAGAGTATTACATGACTGATGCCCTTGATCCTGCAATTGAATCCATGTGGGTGGATCCTTTCATCCATAGAAAACTGACTTTGCAGCTAAGACTTCTGTCAGCACTTCATAGGTGTATAAAGGTTATTAGAGTTAAAATAGCACCTGCTACTACAATCTTTTGTGCCTGTTTCTTCAATTAAATTTTATGTCACTCTTTGAGCATCTACTTGGGATTGTTTCTCCTGTCCTTTTGGGTTTATATAGAAACAATGTTAAAAACTTTTTTGTGGGTTTTCTGATAAACATTCTGATAAATTAGAAGTCTTTCGTCATATGAGTTGGACATAGATTTCTTAGGCTTATTTCTTATCATACATATGTTGCAATGACTTATTGAGGACATTCTCAAATTCAGAAAAGATAGTGGTACCCATGCCACCACAATGCTAACAAAGGTCATTGTATGTAGAACTGCTTCCAAAGAATACGGAAAATCTGTTTTGTAATTTCACCATTTCACTTGAAGCTCCATGCTGAAAATCTCAGTTACAGAATTATTTTTCTTTTCCCTGGTATGTAGGACTTTTTGCCTATGTCCACAGCAGAAAAGTGTTCAGGTGTCTTCAGAAGTTTTGAACAAACAAGTTCACCTAGGGGTCAGCCTGAATAGGGCTGCTCTGGGCTGTAGCTGTCAAAACTAAAAGCAGGAGCATGGCTTTAAAAAGGGCAGAAGCTCTTAAAGCACTAGGCAAATGTACAAGAGTGGTAGGGTGTATGTTCTATGTAGATGCTTCTTAAAAACAGACAAAGCTCTCAATTTGAACAGATTCCTCTGGTATTAGTATGGGATACATCTGCCAGAGATCTGATGGAAAGAGTCCTGGCCTTTTTTCTCACATAGTAGGATGTCAGTTACTAAACTTTATGTAGACTTTAATTGCTGGAGATGGAGAGATTACTAAATAAATTGCAGTTCTTGATGACTGCCAACATTGCATTCCTATCACATAATACATTAATGGCTTTTCTTTTCTTCTCTGTTTATATTCTGACAGCATGTAGCCTGAGCTTTACTAATAGTGAATTAATACAAATACTACTAATCCATAGTCTTAAAGGAAGGTAAAAACTATTACTTACATTGTGCTGAAATGCTGCACAGTATGGATGTGTTTCTATAAAAGCAGCAGAACTAATGCCACATAGAGTTCTTTGTACTTTTTTTCATTTAATTTAAAAAAAAAGGGGGGCAGAGACATATTTTACATTTTCATGGGTCAAGCACAAGACTTAGCAGCATAGACTCTAAATTTTGAGCCTAAGTAGAAAAAGAATGATCAAATTTAACAAGAATGTTTTTGAAACCAGAATAAAAAACTATTGGAGATCATTACAGAAAAAAAAAAAAAAAAACCCTCCACAATGCAGTGTTCCTTTGCTCAGGCCAGTAAAGCTCAAAAGACATCTGGTGATTTTCTGTTTCTGCCACAGAAAAAAAAATTATTGATCCTTCAAGGAGCTTCTCTAAGGATAATGTGAGCCAAGGGGCTAAGCAGTCTGCAACACTGGACCTCAAGTACATGTAGTGTAGTGGAGAATATTAATGAGGGAATATAAAGTGTTTGAAGTTCACAGAATCATACAATATCATGAGTTGAAAGGGATGCATCAAAGTCTGACTCTTGGCCCTGTGCAGGACCATCCCCAGGAGTCACACCCTATGCCTGAGAGCAGTGTCTAAATGCTTCTTGAACTCTGTCAGGCTTGGTACTGTGACCACATCCCTGAGACTCTGTGCCCAACCACCCTCTGGGTGAAGAACCTTTTTCTAATATCCAATCTCAATCTCTCCTGAAACATGCCATTCCCTCGTGTCCTGTCACTGTCACCATTGAGGAGAGATCAGTGCCTGCCCCTCCCCTTCACAAAGAAGTTGTAACTGCAGTGAGGTCTCCTCTGAGTCTCCTCCAGGCTGAACAGACCAAATGACCTCAGCTGCTCCTCATATGGCTGCCCCTCAAGGTCCATTGCCATTTTTGTAGCCCTTCTTTGGATGCTTTCCAATATTTTTATGTGTTTCTCATATCATGGCGCCAGCACTGGAGGTGAGGCTGCCCCAGCTCAGAGCAGAGCAGGACAATCCCCTCCCTTGCCCAGCTGGCCAGGCTGTGCCTGATGCCCCCCAGGACAGGGTTGGCCCTCCTGGCTGCCAGGGCACTGCTGACTCGTGTTCAACTTGCCATGGACCAGGACCCCCAGGTCCCTTTTTACAGCTCTGCTTCCCCACAGCTCATTGCCCAGTCTGTACGTACAAGTTATTCTAGTCTTGAGTAATCTCAAAAGCTCTAAGTTACCATTTAGAACTTGTTTGAATTCCAGTGTGAAATTTATCTTTCCTGAGTTTATTCCTGATGATCCCCTGTGAGTATTTCAGCTGATTTTGATTTGGTTCATGATTTTCATTTCTGCTTTACAGGCTCAGTTTGATATTGCTGTTGCAAGTGAGATTATGGCCATCCTGGCACTTACCACCAGCCTTCAAGACATGAAGGAAAGACTGGGGAGAGTGGTGGTGGCTAATGACAAGAAAGGAGAACCAGTAACAGCAGAGGATTTGGTATGTTCAGTGCTGTAGAGACCTGTGAATAACCTCAGACATGTTTGTTTTGCCTCTTGAAGCATTAAAAAGGCAGGTGCATGCCAAAGATTTTGCTTTGAACAGCACAGTCGGATATCAAAGAAAGATCATCTTCTGGGCCAAAACCTGCTTGAGAATGAGAACAAGATGTAGAACTCATTTTTTCAACTCTGGTAACATCTGGTTCAGGAAACCTCTGGTCTCCATAACCTACTTGGATCATTTTCTGCAATTCTTAAGGCAAACAAATTCGGTGCTGGAGGGAGTCAAAGTGCGGGCTCTTATTTGGGAGAGCTGGTAATGTTTGCTACTGTGCTTTTAGAGTCTGCTCAGATGTTACAATGATAGTTACCACATGAATGCCTGTACCACTGAATCAGAATGGAAACAAGCTGTTCTTAATTCAAAGGTTGCTGATAGTGCTTGGGACAGGTTTATCTGTCATTAGATTTTTTTTTTCTTCTTTGCCTTTATTAGTTGCTGTTTCCTCATTTCCTACTTCAGCTTCTGAAAAAAGTTGGTATGTTTTTTCTTTAAATCACATTCCATCCCTTGTATCCAGGCTGTGAGTCATTGAACAGTGGTTGGAAGCTCACACATGGTTGTGTATGGCAGGTTCTGGTGCAGCCAGAAGTTACCAGCTGATTATTGTAATCAGCTGCATTACAATCAGGAGCAGTCTAATGCCAGCCCATTGGTGATGGCTGCCTGTATCACACAGGCTCTGTGTGTTTTCCCCTGTTTCTCCCTGCTTTGTGAACATCTGCTCAAACTTACTGAGTAATGAATGAGTAAAGCAATGAGTATCCTGCCTTGTCAGCAAAGATAGCAAATCCGCAAGTCAGGAACACCTTCACAGCCTTAATGGATTCCAGTTTAATAAAGAAATGAAAACATGCTATCTAGAGTGCCTGGATTTAAAAATGAAATTAAGATAAGGTTAAAAATTTCTAAGTACAGTCATCATTAAAATTCGAAGTAAATCATCCATTCCCAATTATGCAGGAGACATGAAGAACTGCATTTAATATTCCAGCTGTTGAAGTTTTGCTTTTCAATTGCATAACTTTGTCTTGGCCAAATGGAGGGGAATGGGGAATAAGTTACATATGCAAAATATTTAAAGTTATTTAGTGTTAGAATTAAAACGGCATTTGAAATACATTATTTTAATTTTGACACTACTTTTGCATGAAGGTACTTTAATTTATTAACATTGTAAAATATTTGACCTACTAACCACTTAATGCTAATCAGCTTGATGAATGAAAGGAATGGCTTTTCTATAGGGGCAAAAGAACTTTAGAACTTTTCTACTGAGTCCCTAAAATGAACGTAGTGCTCTGCAAAATGTCTGTTACTAATTCAGCTTTCTTTGGCTTTTTTTAAAACAAACTTCCTATGCTTAGTGTCTCAATCATTTGATAGTGTTGCTTGTACTGAACATATGTTTCTAGTTGTTCTTTAAAGTGGTGTTTTATATTATACAAAAAAAAAAAAAAAACCCGCACAGAAAGAAAACATCATCACAGTCTGAAGGACATATGAGCATCTGCAGCTATGCTGCTGCATTCCTTTTCTTCTGAAAGTTCTCCATACCCTGCACAGGAAAGACTTGTGTGCATGCCCTGATTGGGAAGTGCAGAAACTCCTACCTCTTTTGTTTTGCAGTGTGTTAAAAATGAGTATGAGAACCACGGGAATAAGAGGAATGTGATTTCATGGTTAAGGATGTAAAGCATCTCTTTGGAGAGTTCTATTCTGTGTTTTTTGCAAAACTTTCATGTGGTGCTCTGTCCACACAAACTGATTCTTACAGTACATAAGGAGTTACACATTCCTCAGTCTGATTTAATACTAGGGAGTTAAACAACTGGAATTTATTGAAAGAGTGAAACTCCATCAAGAACTTTGAATCAGGAGAAATTATTTTCTGTTGTCCCAGGTTGAGCATCCAAAATTGGTGAATATTTTTGAGCTTGATTCTTGTCTGTGCAGGTTTCTCTTGTGAAGAACAGGAACAATTGTTCATTTCTAAAGACTTGCTAATATTGCTGAAGAAGTTAGATGCAGTGTTGGGATTTTAAAAATGTCAAATGAAATTAGCTGTGGGGTTTCTATAATTTCTGTATCAAATTAAATAATGCTTTGTACAAGGGGAGGGAGCTTATGAATAACCATGCTGCACTGATGAAAGTGTGCTGTATAAAGTTGAATCCTCAGGAAACAACAGCAGGAGAAGTATAATCAAAGATCATAGCAAGTCATAATTCATATGTATGAAGATGATAAATTTCTGTTCAGTTGTGTAGCATTTTATCTCCATTGCTGGTTTCTTCCCACAGGTGGTCAGTCTGTTTGAGCAGCTTGCAACTAAACCTACCATTTCTAGACTTTAAATGCAGTCTCTACTCTTTCCCACTTCCCCTGCAACTTGTGCTGCTTGTCTTGCTATAATCCAAGAATTATTTCTTGAGAAAATTGTCACACATATCAAGATGTTTGATGTGAAGCCATTCAGGTCCTGAATTTCCATCCTCCTTTCAAGTCAGGGTCAGTGAGGAGGTAAAGCTCTATAGTCCAGTAAGGAAAGATCTCAAGACAGCTGAACAAAGGGAAAACACTTTGCAAGATTTTAGAATGCTCTCAATCCAGGTTCAATAATTCTGACTTCTGTTTTTGTGGAACAAAATGAAGTTTAAAAGCTTGAATCTATCACAGTCCGTTGACATGGAGTGTTTTAGCCCAAAGAACTGCAATTGCATACAGTTCTAAAAAACTTTAAAGGCAACTTTATAATGAGAAGTAGCACACAACCTGAGTAGTGGGTTAATTCTGTATCATTGAAAAAAAAAATTCTGGGGTTCATGTTTATATCCTACACAGATTGAACTTATGCAAGTTTAAATGCTTGACAGTAGTCTTTAGTTCTGTGCAATCTATGTGAACCAAAACCACTAAACCTTTCTCTGTGATTTGTTTCCAGATGTACACACAAAATACTTCACAAAAATACAATTGTTCTTAATTTTGACTTTATATGCAATATATTTATCATAATACAATAGTAAAACCTAAAATACACATTGGCAGATATAAACCATATGCCGAGACAGACTAGGAATAATAGAAAAAAGATAAATCGAATATTTCATGAATTGAGAAGACTCTTTCCACAAGAGTAATGGATTAAATGTCTATCCTCTGTAATGGAATATGTTGAACTCTTTGCCAAAATGTGGTGCTCATTGTACAGTATTTTGAAGACTTAATTGCTTTTTGGCTTTTCCAGTGAGGTAGAATTCTGATGGACACATACCATATTTTTATGTGAAGCTAAATCGGTATATATGCCCTAGATCAGTATGTCAGCCGATATGAAAAATATTAAATAAATATGTCGCTATTTTTTTAAATAAGATTTCTTCTCAGCTTACTTGCTGTGCCATGCTGTTAGCTTTCAGTAATTCCAGGACAAAAAAAAAAAAAGGAATAGTTTAATATTTACTTATGTAAATGATCTGTCAGTTAGTGAGATTTTGTTCTCTGGTTCATCAGAAACATTGTGTACAGTGTTCACTTCAAACAAAGGAGTTGCAGTTCTTCTCAGATTATGGTTTAAAGTTTAGGTTTTTTACAGGACTGAAATTGCAGAAAGTATTATTATTTTGTTAGAGACTATCGTTTCAATTGAAGGGAAATTACAAGTATTTCATTATTTTTCTTATAAAGAAAAGAATTTTTCTCTGCCCCTCAGTCTGTGTAGCCTTTATTCATTTCATAGTAGTTACTTTCAATCACTTTCCTTGTCATCTGGTGCTGGCTTTCATTTCCAGTCTTGATAGACTTCAGAGACTGCTCCACTGGAAGCTGCTTTGAAAGTGTTTTGGATTTTCATCTAAGTTTGCCTTTCCTGTGTCCCGTGTATAATTTGTTTTGTGATCTGTGCTGTCCTGGGGAGCATACCTGCCCTGATAGCTGGTGGATAGATGGAAGGAGCATTATTTTCAGGAATACCTGTGATCAGTTCCAGGAAGGAACCCAGAAAAGCTGAACATCTGTATACAATTGATTCAGAGCACTTCTTTCATCTGACAGTGAGTTAGTGGAAAGCTAATGATCTTGGGGTTCTCACAAGCTTAATTGGTGTGTAAGTGTCAAAGCCCCTAATTATTTTATAAAAAATTTATCTACCTTTTCTGAATTGGAAATAGGAACCTGATTCCTTAAGCAGCTTTGTGAATCAGATCCAATACTTGGAGTGAGCTGTAGGAATTGTGTGTTAGATACTTGGAAATGAAAACTTCATTCTAACAGTTGTGTCAAATAAGTATGCAAACCTTATTGTTTGTTTAGCTTTTAAGGACTGCTGTTGACACCAAACCTGGTTAAAAACCATGGGAGGCAGGTAGACACAAGATATGCCTATTGGAGTATTTACATCTTTTTTTCTGTGCTTTCAGATTCAGATAAAATGAGTTGTTGTGTCCAAAAGGTGTGTCTAGTGCCAAATAATGCATAAGTAATATCTCCCAAAAATCTAAAATGCAGAGGAAGTATTTTTTTGATTGGTGAAAACATCAGAAAACAAAGGAGACAGGATTTGAGCCATGATTATCTAGAAGGAGCAGGGGAGAGAAGTGTCCTGATTTTATTTTTCACTACTTCTTTGCCTGAGTCTTCTTTCCAGTAGGGCTGATCCATGGCTGCTGCTGACCACTTGAAAGACCAGATGTAAAGTTTTGTATTTGGCTTTTTTTTTTTCCTCTAGAAATGAGGGTAATTTGGTATACAAGCAACATAACACCAGGCTATTTCTATGGAGGTGGTGGAGCCTCACCCATTTTGAAAGAGCTGGACTGCTTATGTTTCCTTGCATTTTAATCCTGGCATCTAAAATTAACATCTTAAGAAACAGCAGTCTAATTCAGAAGGTGTAAAACCATGCTGTTTTGCTACCAGTTTCTCATATTATATCTTCCTGGATCCACTGGGTTTTGTAAACAGTGGGAGACTTAGAGAGCAAAGAAAAATCTTTTTTCTTGTCTTTCTCCTTCACAGTCCTCCAAGGAAACACTTGCTATGCATCAGTAGAAGCCAGTTTTACTATTTTGGTTTCAATTCAGTTTTATCTAAGGCCAAATATTCTGTGTCATTTTCCTCTGAAGTCTATGTTCAGATATGATGCTCAGAAAGAGGAAAATTTAATTTTATAAAATACTGGACTTAATCACCACATACTTTTATGTCTCTTATCTGTTGTCGTCAAAATTTTCATGCAGACTTTGATTGCCCAAATTTGGGGTTAGTTTACAAAAGCTGTGTTGGGAATTCTAAAGGCACTATTTTTATTGCTTTTCTTTATTTGAATATTAGTATTCATCTCTTTGTAGGCAACTTGGATATATTACCCATGTTTTTCAATCTTCATTTTAAACAATTTACAGCAGCTAGAATTTTTTGTTTAGTTTTCATGTTTCTTTTCAATACAAAAATATATTAAATTCATTTTTTTGCATTCTCTGGCAAGTCTATGAGCCACTCTTTATAACACTACTGTGGTTTTTCTGAGCCATGATCTAATTCTCTCAAAGTAAACCAGATCATCTCAAAATCAAAGTAACTTAGAATAAATTTGAACATATGCTGGTGATTTCTAGATAGTACTCTTCATATAGTCTGATAGTGTACACTGTAGCCTTTTTTTATTTTCCTGGAATGAGCATTGAAATTTGGTGTAGAGGGCTGTCATTTTTTTTTTTAAAAGTTTAATTTTAAAATTTATTTTAAGCTCAGTCAGTGTGAAATTTACACTTCAACAAAACTTTAAGGGCAGAGTAAGGTTTTTTACAAGCAAAATGCAGTCATTTTCTCAGCTCCTTTTGTGCTCTCATCATCACAGTAAGGCATCTATAACTTTTAATCTTATGATGTATTCGTTATCTGCCCCTAGTAAACTCTGTGACTGCTTTCATCCTGTATCTGTAATGTATATATTTGTACAAGTCTTGAAAAAATACCCCTTCTGGCTGTTGCTAGCTATTGATTTATGCTGTTGATTCTGTCATAAAAGAAATAAATTTGTCATTTCTTTAGGCAGTTTTAGCAAGCTGTTGCCTTCTTGCTTTCTCAGTCTCAGTGGCCTTTGGCAATTCATCTTTTGTTACCTTGAACATCCTCATGCCAATCACTTAATTCTGTTTCTGGTCTCTCCATGAAATAGGACAAAGAAGTTACCTGTTGCCTTTTAAGTGTATTCAGAATAAAAACATTTTTGTTTTTAACACACTGTAAATACAGAATTTTAGAAGTCTTGTGATAGTATCTAAATAAATTCTTTATGCATCACTGTAACACTGCTTTGACTTGTAGGGGTTTTTTAACTATAAGTGTAACTTGGAAATGTTGCATCTTAGAATTGACTTCCTTAAGATGTGGACTCTTGTCTTTTAGGGAGTAAGTGGTGCTTTGGCAGTTTTGATGAAAGATGCAATTAAGCCCACGCTAATGCAGACATTAGAGGTAAGTATGGCTTATGATGCCTGCCCTTCTCCAGCTTTCATATTCCATATTGTGTTGATCATGCCTCTCTTCAGTAACTGTGCTTGGCTTTCAAAATTCAAGCCAGGGTCCGATCCATAAAGGCACTCTAGCAAACATTCATTTGTTTATGTTATTCAACTCTATCTGCATTTATATCTTTTTGGTGGTTTTCTTTCTTTTTGAGATCTAGCTATAGTCATAATTTTATCTCGTGTTGCAAACAAGCTGCAGTGCACTATTGAGCTGCTTCTGAGCACAATGGGAGGTAGATTCGTCTTCTAAGTCACAGATTTACTATTTCCCATCTTGTTTTTACAGGGAAGTTTCCTTTTTGTGTATTTCTTTTATATGGATGTTCTCATGATGATTCCCACAGCCTAGCATTTTGTGTGGGAAAAAATGTGGTTTGCTGTGGCCATTCTAATCTGTATTACAGTTTGTGTCATTCATAATCACAGGAGGGTCCTTTCAGCTGCTTATGCATTTTCCTAAACTAGCTCCCAGCCACCATATCTTGCCACAGTGCCTGCATGGACTAAATGAAGCTTTGATGGGCTATGAGAGGAATGTTTTACACCTACTTTAGTGAGCTTTCTTCCAATAGCTTAAAGAATGTAGAATTAGTGCAAGCTAGCTTTGTGCCTGGGCAGTTTGGTATTGATGTTTTGATGGGAAACTGATGAGCAACATTCAAGGGGAGAGGGAGAAAGAAAAATGAGAAAATAATGAAGCAGCTTTGAAAACAAATGTGCTTGGAGAAAAATTAGTGTATATATTTTTTTCATTTGACCATCAAAATTACATAGCTGGAATATTTCACAATGGTTCTTGATATGCTGAAAAGTTGAAGAATGCAGAAAGATACCAGTGCAATCACCAGTTGATAAAAATGTCTCATTTCTACAGCATGTGGAACTGATAACTACCTTTTTGCTTTTGTGTTTGGGCAGGGACAATTTTCTAGTCTTGGGGAATATTAGAAAAACAGGATTTAAGTCTATGTTATTTTATTACAGCCATCTAAATTTTTTTCCTCTGCAAAGAAAACCTATTCTTTCATGTGACTGTATGGAGAACGTATGTGTGTGTGCGCGATAATTTTAATATAACATCCAATAGCACAAACTGGAGGTCACATAGGATCAGGAATGTCATGACCAGAACTCAGTTTTGTAATCACCACTTGGATAACATTGTGTGTGTTAAGCGCCAGTGTCAAGTTAGTTTTCATTCTGACTGTTTAGTCATTCTATTTGCAGTTTGCTTATCTGTTGGAAAATACTGTGGTTTTGTTGCAGTTTTCTGAAAGTTATAGATGTCAGAAGAGATTCTTTTGATCAATAGGCATTTGGCCGTGGGACTTGCATGCATTTATTTTTTCCCTGCATTTCTTTATATTCACATTTCTATGGAATAAAATTCCTGCCTTTTATGTGGTATTTTTTTCTAGTCTAATCTATGCTATGGCTGAAACATCTACCAGCTTTCTTCAAACGCTCTTGCTTGTTAGCAGGACCCTGACCACATTACCCAAAGATACATTTTTCCCCTAAATTCTTCTCACAAAGTTCTTTTTAAAACAGCAAACTAAAGCAGCTCAGAAGACTGCTTCATGCTCCACTCCTCCACTTTGAGTCTTAAAGATGAATTTTTGTCACCCTTTGGATACTTGCTGGCTTGCAGGCTAATATGAGTCACCTATCCAGGAATGAAGAACCCCAGTTTTTCTAAATATTTTTCAAGATAGTACTTTGCTTTGCCTGGTGTCCTTTTGGGCTGTATCATTGCTCTCATGTAGAATCACAGAACCTGATGAGCTGGAAGTGACTCCCAAGGATCACCAAGTCCAGATCCTAGGCCTGCACAGCACCATCCCCGAGCCACCCCATGTGCCCGAGAGCATTGCACAAACACCTGATGAACTCTGTGACATTGCTGCTGTGACCACTGCCCTGGGGAGCCTGATCCAGTGCCCAACCATCATCTGGGTGAAGAACCTTTTCCTGATATCCAACTTAAACCTCTCCTGAAACAACTTCAGGCCATGCCCTCGGATCTGGTCACTGGTCCCCACAGAGATCAGTGCCTGCCCCTGCTCTACCCTTCACAAAGAGGCTGCAGACTGCAGTGAGGTCTTCCCTCAGGCTCCTCCAGGCTGAACAGACCAAGCGACCTCAGCCCCTCCTCACACGGCTTCCCCTCAAGGCCCTTCACCATCCTCACGGCCCTCCTTTGGATGCTCTCTAATAATTTCATGTTGTTATATTGTGGCACCCCAAACTGCCCCCAGCACTGGAGGTGAGGCTGCCCCAGCTCAGAGCAGAGCAGGACAATCCCCTCCCTTGCCTGGCTGGCCATGCTGTGCCTGCTGCCCCCCAGGACAGGGTTGGCCCTCCTGGGGATGCAATGTCTGCTCTATTACTGCCTGTGCTGTTGCTGCTCCTGAGCTCTCTTCATTATTTTTTACTCTTCATCTGAATAACTGTAAGAGGTGCTACTTTTAATAACGTCAGTTTAAAAAAGAAAAAGGAGGTGAACAAGGAGGATGTTGTGCCCTGCACACTTGAATGTACTCTAGTGTTCCACTTGAGAGTTTAGAGCCCTCTAGCGTGATAGATTTTAAACCAAAGTAATCTTAGTATACCTTGGGGTGGTAGATGTAATAATATTTCTTCTGCTGTAGGTAATGCCATCTTTCTGATGAATGTGTGAATTGCAAATCAGAAATGAGGTTAACTGAAGCCTACATTACACTTAAAATAAACCTAATAAGTAGCACTCAAAAGTTACCATCTTAAGTTTCCAAAGATGTTACCTGTAGTAATTGGACAACATAATCCTTATCCCTTGAGAGAGAACAAGCTCTTCACAGAAGTGTAAAGACTTTTAGCAACAGCACCACGATTTGACAACAGTAAAATTAGAAATAGTCCTACAGCACGCAGGTGGTGAAAAAACAGAATAATATGATTACAGAGAACACAAATACAGCTCAGAACATGCCGTGGACCTGTCTGGCAATTAGAGATGACGCTGTTCACCAAAGCAGGTCTTCCAGGTCACTTTGGGGAATGGCAAAAAGGCTGCTGGATGAGGGAAAGCAGGAGATCTGAATGACTGACAGTTGATTTGGCATAATTTATGAGTCATAGTGTCTGTGGGTAGCAGTGACTGGAAGGAGCTATTGCAGAGATAGGAGCCAGATAGAAGTAGCCAGTGCAGCTACTGATCTGATCTGATCTGGCCAGGAGCCTGTAGATGGGAATTGTGTTAAGCCCTGGAAGTCTGAGGAGTTGCTTCTAAGGGCCTGTGAAAAGGGAGAAGAACAACATGCTTGGCAGATTTGCACCAACTTTATATGGATATCTGCATGCACTGGAGAAGAGGCTTAGAAGGTGATAAATCAAAAATGACTAAATGTCGGTCTGGCGTGGAACTGAACTGGCAACTTTTGTCAGTGCTTTTTTTCATATGTGAATTGATGTGTGTTCTATTTTGCTGGTTTTTAAAGAGGTTTCTTGGTGGATTGCTTTCCGTCACACTACTGCCACTCTGATACCAGAAATTCTGCCTGAAAGTGTTAGTGATTGACAGTGTTTTATATGCAGGAATGACAGTAAAAATCTAAAAACGGGAGACACAGGGCACTCCATCTACAATAACAGCAGACTTCAGTGGGGCTTACTTATATCCAGTGCTGTAGAATTGAGATTACTTTGTTTGGAATGTACATAATGATTTCATAGTGTTTATCCATGTTTCTCATGACACATTTGTTCTCTTGTCGACTGATCCCTTAATGTTTAGCATTTATTTATACCACGCGTAACAGAGCAGCTGCTCTATGGGACAACCCTTTGTAGTTGCAGGCTGGCTGCTCTGGGGTGGTTTGTTGTGTTACTTTTGAAGTGCCACTCACAGTAAAGATGAGAGAAGAATGGTAATAAGTATTATAAACATCCTTCCAGCGGCCAGATAACTTCAGATATTTATTGACATTCTGGGTTTATTTTCTTTTACTGAAACTTGGATAATAAGATTTTCTGTACTGAAAACAGTCAGCAGAATGCATCTCTGTGGCACTGTTTGGTTGTCCATATAGTTTGTTAGGAGTGTAGCAAAAATAAGTGGGACAGATGGACTGGCACAGTCACTAAAGCTGGCCTGAGAAGACATTGTTGTCCCTGTTCCAAGGTGTGTCTGAGGCTCCCAAGGTCCTGCTGGAGTTCACTCTCTTCAATACCTAGACTTTACTTTTCTTCCAATATTGCTTTTATAAAAAAAACATTCCAATTGTTCTTCCTTTCCTTCTGGTGGATTTCAAAGCTCCAGGGGACCATCTGTCTATGCCAGCGATTTAGTAGTATGTTTGGATTTCAAGTTAGTCATGGGAGCCTCTTGACTTCCAATAGTCTGGATTTTGGATACTGCAGTCCACTTTCCCTTCCTATCCATGTTGTGTGGACAAACTCTTGGAAATACATTAGCACAGGGAATGTAGGAGGAGACCCTTCTGGTACCTCTGCACCTCCCTTTGCCTAGCAGTGTGTGTTGGGCTGTCCAGTCACTGGCTGTTGCTGTGCATCACATCTGCCCAGTGTCTGCTCTGGGCTCTAATAAGACCAGCTCTGTGATTGCTTGCCACAAGAAATTAGGGATTGGAAGAGTAAAGTTAGCCTTACTCAATAATAAAAGACAAATTGGAATAAATCTTACGGATCTGAGTCTGGTAGCTGAAAATTTTTGGTCCTACTTATTTGAATGCCAGAAGTGTAAATACTGGATTAAAGTAGAAGTAAAGCTTCAGCTTAGATTGGTGAAAGTTGTTTGCATTTGATTTTGTCTGTTATAAGCTCTTTAGGATAGGGGTAACATATTTTGCACAGCACCTATTAGACTGATGCCCAGATAAGATTTGAAGGCATATGTAGTTCATGTTAAGTTTTTGTGTACCTTTGTAAAATCTAGTTGATATTGCAGTTCCATTCCATTCGCAGATAGAAAACAAGAAAAAAAGCTAACCCAAAGTAAGCACAATGTTATGATTAGTGATCTACATCCGCTCTCTCGTTACAGGGCATGATTTCTCTTTAATATACTTTTTTTGCTCCTAATTCTACTCTAACATGTATGGAGAGGGTTATCTGAGTTGTAGCTTAACTGTGTTGTTTGTGGAGAATAGCCCCCACTCATGTCTGTGCATGTGGCAGTGGCTAAAAAGTTACTTGTCTTTGCTGTGAGCGAAACAATTAATTAAATATTGTTACTTCTAAAGGACGCAATAAGAAGAGATATTTTGTTGATATATCATTTTTGTATATGATTTCTAATCATCATTACTGAAACGTCCATGTTTTCTGTAAAACACCACTTAGATTACAGTAGTGAAACAGAAATTTTCCTATGTAGGTTGTTTCCTTAAGATACTGGTGGCTGGGAGGTAAGAGGAGGAGAACCAACTTGTATTTTATGGTTAATAGTTTCCAAGCTGTGATTCAGGAAACCATTAGATGTGCCCTGCAGCTGAGCCACAGAACATTGTCCTTCTTAAGTGATGTTTCTGATCAAAGCTTGAAGGAGGTTGCCTGGTAGGTTCCCTGAAATTTTGAGGGTTGGCAGTAGCTCCTAGTACAGAATGTGAGAAGAACATTGATGGAAATAATGTGAAATTGTCTGCTTACCTTTTCTTTAACCAGCTGGACACTTTAAGATGCATAAACGTAACAATGGGCATTTGTTCGCCTAAGAATTTTGTAATAAAACAGCTGAAGTGACATTCTTCTGTCTGAATTGTGTGTTCTGTTTTAGAGAAAACATAGCAATTAATGTAATCTCACCTAATCCTAATCCCTTTCTGAGATGCTTATTTTCTAATTTCTTCTTTCCTTGGGATGCCTGCCAAAAATATAAGAGGGAAGCTGAGAACTGCTTCCTACCTCATAAATTCCCTACATGTAGCTAATTTGCTTACTCTTTGCCTCTCCTTTCTCTGGTTTAGATTGGTTTGTCTACAGAGTCAATTTCCCCTGTGTATTTGTATGGTGTCTAGTGCAGGAGAATTCAGCTCTGCACCTGGGCTTCCAGCAGCAGTGAATGCATTTTCCATTGTGTCAGTGTCCCCACTGCACCCCAGCATGTCCCTTGCCATCTCCCTCTCCAGCTCCTCAACCCCTGACTCTGGTCCCTCATGGCTTCAGCTGGCTCCTCTGACTGCACAGGAATGGCTGTAGCAGCCAATGAGGAAAACAGGAGCACACAGGGCTGGAGTAGGGCTGGAGCTGGGCTCTTACCTGTGTATCTGCAGTGCTGCATTTAGTGCTTGTTATAGAATGTGTGCCAGAATAGCACACCACAGTGTTAGAGCTGTGGAAATATGAAACATGAACTAGTACAAGGTAGGGTGAGGAAGTTGTGAAGGTTTGCACTGTTGTTTATTACCTTTCTTGGAATGAAGCAGGTGAATGAAAGGTCTCGAGCATGTAGCTGAGATGTACCTAGAACCCCTAAATTGTCTAATAGTACTTCCTCTCTATATGTGCTTTGATTTCTATGTGACCTTGATAAGTCTGAAAAATTATTGAGTTTCTTACATAATGTACTGGTTTGGCCTGGGATAGGGTTAATTATCTTCACATCAGCTATTACGGGGCTGTGTTTTGGATTTGTGCTGGAGACAGTGTTGATAACACAGGAGTGCTTTTGTAATTGGTGAGCAAGGCTTGCACAGAGTCAAGGCCTTTTCTGTCTCTCACCCCACCAGGAAGCAGGCTGGGAGGTACACAAGATATTGGGAGGGGACACAGTAGGACAGCTGACCCCAGCTGGCCCAAGGGGTATTCCCGACCAAATGGCATCGTGCTGAGCATACAAAGCTGTGGGAGGAAGGAAGAAGGGTGGACATTTGGAGTGATGGCATTTGTCTTCCCAAGCAACCATTACACATGATGGAACCCTCCTTTCCTGGGCTGAACACTTGCCTGCTCATGGGAAGCAGGAATGAATTCCTTGTTTTGCTTTACTCGTGTGTGTGAAGTCTTTGCCTATTTTCTTTGCCTATTGTGTTTATCTCACACCATGAGTATTCTTACTTTAACCCTTCTGGTTTTCTCCCCATCCCACTGATAGAGGAGCAAGTGATCAGCTGTGTGGGGCTTAGTTGCTGACTGGGGTTAAACCATGACATCTATACATTGAATTATTTACATATATTTTTTTTGTCATCCAGGGAACACCAGTATTTGTTCACGCAGGACCTTTTGCTAACATTGCACATGGAAGTTCTTCTGTTTTGGCAGATAAAATTGCTCTTAAATTAGTTGGAGAGAAAGGATTTGTAGGTAAGTAAATATTCAGTTTATTGTATTACAATCTGTTAATAAATTGGCAGTGATGAAAATGAATGGAAAAATTAGCAATTCAAGGTAAGAATGCTACTTTATTATTAATATCAGTATAAAATAATCATAAAGTGAATGTGTAATAAGCCAAAAGCACTTCCTCTCTTATCCTGCCTTTTGTCTCAAATCCTGCCGCTGTATTCCTGCACCATGTTTGACTCATGAGTGGCCTGTTCATTCCACAAGGGGACTGAATCAGTCAAATGACTGGATTGCATTGAAAGAGGTGTCCTGTTGTTCACTCTATTAGTGTTCCTCTGGCCTCACTTGATAAACCAACAGAAACCATTCTTTTTTTCCTGATGAATTATTTCTCTACCAGTTTAGTAAACTCAGCCAAATCAGAGGTCAGATGTCCCTGGGCCAGTGCAGGGGACTAGCAGAGGCAAGGTGGTAGAAGAAAGATTAATTCTGCCTCATTTTAGTGGCTGTGAGCAATTTGGTTGGTCCAGCTGCATTGTCAAAGCTCACCGTGGGGCCCTTATGTTCCCATGAAAGCATTTGAGTGGGCAGACTCTTTTTATATTAGGAATTCAGCCTGCACAAGCAACAATAGACACATAGAGCTTACAGTTGGAGGCAAAATAAACTTGTGGCTGAACGATGAACTAGCTTTTATAAAAATTGTTGTGAGTGTTTAAACCTTAGAATTAATTAAATAAAAGGAGCATTGCAGCTTTCCAGTAGTGATGCCTTTGCAATGCTGCAGCCATTCTCTTCTGAGTCCTGAACACCCAGGTTGGATTGCATTAATCCTAAAGATAAAGTCCGAGTAACTGTACAACGATGCTCTTGAAAAGATGCAGCAATGTGAAACGTGAGATTTCTTATGTTAGCACCCCTAAACAAGTAGAGAAACATGTATGTATAGGCTTATGTCATACCTACATACAGGAAAGCATTGTTTTTTACAGTGTTTTACAGCTTAAAAGTCTGTTTATTTCCCTCTATTAATCAAACATCCGTTCAGAGAAGAACATTTTGCATTCTGAATACATTTATTTCAAGATAGTTGAATTCCTATTTCATTAGGCCATGTTTCTTCTTACATGGCTTTGTGGAATGAAGAGCAAGATAATTTAGGGTAGGTAACATTTTTTTTAAACCTTGCGAAGTGACTTTGTTTCTGCAACGTGCAATCTTCTCAAGTGAGGTGTCAGTTGTGTATCAATTGAATGAAAGTATGTTGGCAACAGTCTTGAGTCTTGATCCAGGTTTTGGAGCCCAAAATGTATTGCCTTAGATTTGGATTCCCTTCCACTGAGTGTGTCCCTCAGGCACAGAGAACATATCCTTGCATTTCTTGCGGGATTTTTGCAGTCTTATCCACCTGTTTGTCTTTAACGCTCTTTTCTGCATTGTTTGTCTTTGGCTCCAGTTTCTCTTTTGGGAGACAAAGCAGTGCAGCTTCAATATAGGAAAACCTTTGTGTGCTGCCAGCTAAAGACCCTTGTTCAGATTTTATTCCACAGAACACAAATCCCCATGAAACTGGCTTCAGAATAAGACTGCCTTTGCTCTGCAGAGCCAGGAACTTCAGCATGATTTGTAGTCCTTGTTAGATTATTAAAAGGAGTAGTTCATAGAGTGGCCTACTTAAATAAACTTTTCAGGTGGTCACAAGTGTAAATATTTGTTCTAATGGTTGTAATTGCCATAAGCTTTATGGTTTAAAAAAAAAAACTTTTTTTCTGGTAACTTGTCAGAGCACATGGGCAAAGACTACATGTAGCACCCACTGGTTTATTAAATACTGTCCTATCCTACCCTACACAACTGAAGTCTAAAATGACAGCTACAAAATGTGCACCAGTCCACACTGAGGTGACATCTGTACAGATGGAGGGCCCAGTGCCTTGTGAATCTGCACAGCAAAGCAGGTAGCAAGAAACTTCACTACATTCCTGCTCACTGTAGAGTTGGCCTAGGGCCATTGAAATTCCAGTGGGAAAGCTGATCCTGTAGTTAATTCAGACAGCCAGGGTGCAGGACAGCTATGCTGCAGTTAGGTAAGTAGCTGAGTAAGTTTATTCAGTCCTGCTAAAAGAAGAAGTTTTAACTGTTCCACATTTCCTTTTTGGGAGTGTTCTGGTGCATTAGATCTGACACTCATTAAATCTTGTATGAGCCATTACAGTACACTTCTGCCATGTAGGTTAGTTGCATAAACTCAGGAAAGAATTCAAAAGGTGCTAGGAACAGAGTAAGGTATCTTGCAGAACCATGTGGCTGGGAGAGACATTTTAGAGACCACAGATTGCTCTCAGCTACCTCCAAAGCAGGAATATAAGAAATCTGTGACATATTCTGCGATTAAATTACTTTCCTGAATAATAGAATAAATATCTTAATGTACATACATTAGCTCACTCACTGTGAGATGGGATTATGATGTAAAATATATATAATTAATATATTTGTTTGATATATTCACTGTTTGAATCTGGTTTGGTTTTTTTTTTAACTTATACCGTATTTGTACTGTGGACAGTACTAAGGAGAATAGCATGGCTTGAATTTGCAGTTTTACAAACACAGACTTTTTAAACTCTGTCCTGATTTAAGCACACTCCTTTCTCCAGCTGCTTGTTTCCAGTCCTTTGTAACCCCTCAGTCTCACCAGCACACCTGTTCACAGAGCCACGTGACAAGCTAAGCTGGAGACTTGGTCTCAGTTGAAAACAACTACAACAAAAAAAAGCCCTTTCCTTCCCCCTCAACAGACAGTGTCTGGGCAAACAGCTTTGTGTGACAGGGGGAAGATGAGATAATGCCACATGAGATGGTGTTTTGGCTGAAATAAATATTTATAGTATTAAAGTCTCATTTGGAGCTTTCAAGTGCCAGTAAAGCTACTGTGGATGCACTAGCTAACCAGACTGCCAGGGCAGCTAAGCCTGTCTCCTTTCTCAGCCTGTGCTCAACTGTTTTTGCATGACATCCCAGCAGAAACCTATTGCCCTTTTTGTTGGCCTCATTTTCTGCTGACTTAACACAGAAGCAGTTCAGCCCAGAGTCACAAAAACACCAGAACTGGTGCAGGAGAGGGTGAGCTGGGACAGCCAGCAGTGAGAAACTGATCTGTTGTGTAGATCCAATTGCTTGTGTGACCATGTGCCATGGCCAAGGCCAAAAAAAAAAAGAAACTCTCTCAAAGTGTTCTTTTAAAATTTATTTTTAAACCTTACTTTCTCTCTCTACCCTGCATTGCCGGTTTCTCTGCTTGCTTTTCAGCTGGAATGGCATCATGCTGTGCCTTTTGAGTAGTGTCAGGTAACAGTGATGTAGACAGTCTGCTTTAAAAAAAATATAAATGAAGCTTAACCATTGAGTCCTGTTCTGAACTCTTGATAACTGAAGGCATTCCCTGCTTCAGTTTCAGGTATCCAGGTGAATCACAGGTCTTCGTTAGGTTTTAGATAGCTTAAGCCTTTTCACTCATCTTTTCGTTTCTCTCTTTCCTGAGCCTTGTTGCTATGTACCAGTAACTCAGCCTTTTTGCTCTGATTTTGAGTTCTTGGTATGAGTTTTGCTACTGGACTTTAAGTGCAATGCTGCAGCTGCCACTGGCTGGTTTGCACTTGTTTGTCCTCTCGGCCTTTTAGTGCTTCCCTGCAGATCCCCCTGGCCCTGCTGTGAGCAAGAGTGGCCCACGGAGGATGGCTGCAGGCAGCTCCTGCACAGGGAGCACCCACGCTGTGGCACAGTGAATGCACCCATCATCACAGCTGCCATGGCCCTAAAACTGTAGGGCTTGTGGCTCTCTGAACTCGGGGCTTTCCTGAGCTGTCAGGAATTATTACACTACACAACTCAACAGATTACCCTATCCTTCTCTTCAATCCCTTCGTGTTTCAGCTGAAGAGAGGGGTTATTGTAAATCAATAAGAAGACAAGTGAAGCATGAGTAGATCCTTGGAGTCCTAAAGCAGAGTTCTTCTCAAGTTTGTTTTTCAGGTTTAGACTTTATGTTTGTTGGTTGCTTTCTTTGCTACTCTCGATAAGCATGTCACACTCAATGCTGAGAGCATGCTGTGCTGGGCAACTTTGTCCTGGTGTGTTTTATCAGGTGACAAGAGGGGAATTATTGCTAGCTGTTGCTGACTGAAGAAAAGTTCACTTTCTGTTTCTTTCTTTAGTTGGTACGCTTGATATAATTGGAAGGAATTTGTAGACACTGTAAATTTTTATAAGCTAAGTAATTGACTCTTTTTATTGTGTTGGTACTCTGTTGGTTAGAGTTAACTAATGATGCTAGCTGTTCTAAGTATCTCTTCAGTACATACAAAGTTTTATTTCAAAGGATATCCACTTTACATACTCTCACCACAGACATTGTTTAATAAGTTTATAAAGCGCCTTATAAAAATTGTATGTGTTTAACACACTAATGAATAATCTTCAGTAGATTTTTTTAATGTCATAAGACACTTCAATCCATTTTTTAGTGTACTCTTTTTCCAAAAAGGGAAATAAAGCCCAAATACTTTGGCTAAACTTCTTTTGGCACCACCAGTAATGTGATATTATCACATTTAAATGTCAAGTTCAAGGATTTATTTTTAATTTTTTTTTTGCTTGATACCATTAGAAGGGGATTCCATGCAGTGACCCTCCAGAAAACTTTACTTTTTAAGAATCTGCCCAGCATCTTTCTAGCTTGCATTATTTAATCTCTGACTTCTTCACTCTTACTTTCACAAAAAACCCCAAACTTTAGTATGATTGCATTCCACTCTCTATTTTGCTTTCTGAACAATGTGGCTGTTCTTGTTAAAGTGTTATAGCAAGGGTAAGGTTTCACAGTACGGGGTGGTTGAGAGCATTATCAGTGTAGGTGTTACTTGCCTACTCTGATCTATGTGAACTACAAACTAGAAAAAGGATGTTCAGAACTTTACAGTATTTTCTCTGACCCCATTCGTAGTGCAGCTGCTCAA